AAAACACAGAGAGTGCGCTCTCCCCATATGTGTGTGTGTGTGTTTTAAGAGTATATATATATATATATATATATATATATATATATATATTCCTTTCACATTTTCAGAAAATTGCCACTGTCCCCTCAAAGCTCGTCACGTTTCCTTTTCTCAGACGCCTCATCTGTCTGTTTTAGTTCGTCTCCAATGATTTTTCCGTCTCCGTTGCTGTCCTGATTACTAAACATTTCCTGAATGACTGCATTGGCATCCACCCCCGGTCTGAGTCGACCTTTGCCCTCCTTCACTTGGTTCATTATAAAAGATGAAAACTGGAGACAAATCCAAACAAGGATCACACTGTGATCACACTGAAATGTTTTTCGTACTTAGTTAAAGGTTTGCTTTTGTCTTTGCTTACCTCTTCTAAAGGGACCTCTTGGTTTCCATTGAGGTCCATGGCAGGAAAGAGGGGGTCTGGGCTGTCTCCAAGCCACATGAACATGAAGCCTTCAGGTACTCCCTTCTGAAGGTCCATCAACTCCAGTTCAAAGAAGAGCACGGCACTGCTGGGCACGCCTACAGCTGGAGTTCCAGATTGTTCAGTTAAGCCAAGAGTGAGATACAGACAAAACTAATTTCAGGCTGTAACAATACAATCTTTGGCGTTTCCAACTCACCTCCAGCTTCACCGTGTCCTAAGTGGGGGGGGACAATCACCTCCCTCTTTTCGCCCACACACATGCCACTCAGTCCCTCCTCCAGACCGTAGATGACATTATTCCTTCCTAGAGTGGTGGTAGAAGGGGAGTCGTAGTGGTCTCTGTAAAGTCACAAGAGTTATTACTCCTCACATCAACACTGCCCTAATCGATATTAATATACAAGCATACATGCTCTGGTGTGATTTTTGTTGTTTATGTGCGGTTCTAAGGCCACGGAAATCTGTCAGAAAAGGAGCCAGTAATGATTACATGCATTATAGCCCAGAGGAGGACGGGAGATGCAGTGTAGCAGAATGAACAGCAGGGGGAGCTCACGAGGAGTAGAGCAGTGTGCCGTCCATCAAGGAGCAATTGTAACGATACTGAATCAGGTCGTTGGCTTCACTGGTTTCACCGCAGTCCTGAGACTTGTGGGTCACTTTAATCTTGACCGGGTCTTCAGGGTTGTGGAAGTCAATGACGTGAATGTCAAAGACCAGCACAGCAGATCCAGGGATGAGGTCGCCTGCAGGCAACGGAGAGACAATGTCAATTGTCAATTCACACCAAACATTTTTTTGGAAGGCCTACACAGCAAACCTACCGACTCCTTTTTCTCCGTAGGCCATGTGAGGAGGAACTGTGACCCTGCGTTTCTCTCCCATACACAGACCCTGCAGTGCTTTGTCAATCCCTTGGATCACATAGCCCTTCCCAATGTACGTGTTGTAGGTGCTATTCCGCTTGTAGCTGCAAAAAAGCAATGGCATTATATATATATACAGTATATATATATATATATATACATAAAAAAATATAAATAAAATATATATTTATATATTTTATATTAGGGATGTCCGATATTAACGGTCCCCAAGCCTAGAGTGCCCTCTAGTGGCTATATATTTTAATATATAAGTCGCACCTGAGTATAAGTCGCAAACCCAGCCAAAGGATAAAAATAGTGCAGAAAATTGTGGTTATTAAGAATCATGGGTAATGCAATCCCTGGCATTGCGTTATTGGGTTTTCATTATCCGAGGAAAAACCGATAACGATTTTTACAGATATCGGACATCCCTAATATTTATATACAGTTATTTAAGGTATATGTCAACATATATTGTGTTTTTGGGACAGTAACAGAGAGTAGAAATGTCTCAGGGATACCTGGAGTCGAAGGCCGTGCCGTCCTGAAAGGTACCGTTGTAGTGGTAGCGGATGTAGTCACCGACCACAGTCCTGCGAGTGCAACCTTTAGGAACCTCCTTCACCTCGATTTTCATGTCATCCTTTGGGTTGAACATGTCCACCAATAACACCTCAAACACCAGTGTGGCCTGAGGAGGAACCAGACTTCCTGTTTGGAGAGGGAGGGGGGCGACAACATTGCTTCATGGTCAGTAAAAGTTCCTGGTACACTACTGTCCATGGTAATATAGCCTGGGGATAACACCTCTTACAATGACACAGGAGACCAGGGTTCAAATCCCTGCCTTCTGAAAAGACTATTACACTTCATAACAAAAAAATGTTCTGACGGCCATGGAATAGTTTCATCTAGCAGGAAAGCTCACAAGTGGTTGAAATCCACCCTGCCCAGGAGGTGAACCGTGGTCTTCCGCACCATTACCAGAGCTATTATAACTCATAGAAGTCAACTCTGAAGTTTTTTCAACACTCACCATAGCCATTCTCTCCATATGCCAGAAAAGGTGGGATGATGATGATGCGTCTTTCACCAATACACATGCCCAAAAGACCCTCGTCCATACCCTGGATAATGTGGCCTTGTCCCAAATAGGTGTCATAGGTGGCATTCTTCGAGTGACTAAACATCAAGGAAAAAAAAAAGTAATTTACAAGGTAACAGTCGGCATTTCTCAAAAGATACATATTCAGATACCACATGGGTAGCCAAGTATGAAGTACATCTTCACAGCTGAGTACCAGTTTGTCCTCACCTGGAATCGAATGCGTCACCGTTGAGCAAGGTGCCATTATAGTGGTACCGCAGGAAATCAGACGCCACCGCGGCGCGGTTACAACCGGCAGGTTTGCTGATGGTGCGAATTTCCACCTTGTCTTCAGTGTTCCATACATCCAGCAGGAGAATATCATAGACCAGCACGGCATCCGGAGGAATGACACCACCTAATGTACCACGGGGGAGAGCACAACAGGGCTCAGGGGTAAATGTTGCCATACAAGTGCAACTGAGCAGCGGTGACACGTGCTGTCGTCTTCATCTCACCTGTTCCTACACTTCCATAGCCCAAGTGTGGAGGGACCGTGATCCGCCTCCGTTCGTTGACACACATGCCTTGTATGCCACGGTCCATCCCTGCGATGAGTTTGCCCAGGCCCACCTGACTGATGAAGTCTCTGCCTCGGTCGTGACTGGAAAACAGAGAGGTCAGGTCATGGCAGAGGCTACAATTACAAGTGCCACCGATGTTACATTCCTGCCTATGAAGTTTATTTATCACCGCAATTACCAGTAGCATCATAGACATGAGCCACAATATGACTATTTGAATACAGCGTATAACAACTGAAACAGTGACAGCCAAAGTGGGGTGTGTGTTGAGTAATTGCTACAGTCGTCCACATATACATATATCTCCCAGAAGTCTGGGCATGTTCAAACGAGTGTGAGCAACAGCTGCAGCCAGTGACTGCTCTATAATGTGGTTTTGGAAAAAAAAAAAAAAAATCACCCGAGGTCTGCAACCACTGACCAAGAAAAAAAAATCAACTTTTTCCAATAATGAGTACCAAAGATATTATATCTGTCAATTAAAAAGCTTCTTTTCAAAAAGTATTGAAAATTGAATATGACAGTTTTTACTATTAAAATGGGTGTGCCTGAGAAATAACTGAGCATCTTACAAATATAAATAACCACAAAACCCAAAAAAGTAAAAAGACTAAGAAACGTATCAGTTCAGCAGATGCAAATACAGAAACGTATGTGACTGACACGTCTTCAGTTGTTTTCTCAGCTGCATCCAATTGTCTCGGTGTAAATCCATCACTGTCAAATAACCATTGGCTCACATTCTTTGTCAACAACGGTAAATACATGTTTTAATGACCTAAACGGCGGAAATAGCGCCACTTAATTTTGTTACCTGATATAACTTCACTTTAACACCAAAAATCACACGCTAGCAATAAAAACACATATGTATGACATGTGTAACTTTAAAAGTCGACGCAATTCACCTGGAGTCAAACTTGGTTCCGTCTGTAAACAAAGTTCCGTTGAAATGAAAGCGGATAAAATCTTCATTCTGCACTTCCCGAGGACAAACCTTTGGTACATGGTACCGATCCACAAGAACCTCCACGAACGGCTCAGGGAGGCAGTTTACAGCAACAGTAAAGAGGACAAAATAGACCAGAGAGAAAATCATTAAATTATCCATTTTAAACGGTTAAATTTAGAAGTAAATGTGAAGAGGCCTCGCAGGAACCGTGTGGCAGAGCAGAGATGCAGTGTAAGTGGAGAGTTGAGAAACACCGCAACAAGTTTGGCCCATAATCTGAGTTCATGTGACCTGAAGTGAACAAAATCAACTTCCGGTTTGGATTACGAACAAATGTCAAAACAATTGTCTAGTTTATTACTGAGAAGTAGTGATATACGGAGAACAGTGCCGGCTAAGGTTTAAGCGAAGTAAAAACCTTTATTTTATTTGCAATTATTAATTTAACCTTGAAGTTTAACGTTTTAAAATCTTAACAAATTACAACTCCACTCGCATACATTTTAGACATATAAAATTACGACTAGTTTCCAATAAACCAAATACTATTCTCGCACTTTATACGATTTTGTTATACATTTACGACGTAATACTTTAGTTTTATAATGTTTTTAAACAACGTGGCCCAAAGTGCTATGTCGTAGCTTTTATTTTGAATTGACAAAAACATCTTAGTTTTTGTCGTCTAGCTTGTCGCTTCTGTCTTGTGGTCACTTCATGTCTCTGCACAGAGAAGCAACAGCCTGAAGAAGGGGAGGAGAAGAGGAGAGAAAGGGGAGGAGGCTTCCATGGGCTCCCACCATCTTTTTAATGGAATTCTGCAAACGTGTAAAGACCCAGAGGCCTGGTTCCATGATTTTACTCACGTATGAAAATTATAACGTGCCTCGCCACAATCTGGACCTCCTGGTCACCGCTTTTTATTTCTCATTGGGAACAGTTCTTTTACACGAGATGTGACTTTTGCACAATTCTTTTTAAAAGCGCCTTCTACAGACTATACAGCCTGCAGGTCTGAAAAGTTAAGACAGGAATTTTAGATTAAATACGCCTAGAAGAGCAGGGACGTCTTCAGCACCTAAACGCATGTCTCAGCTTGTTATTTCTCTTGAAATATTGACTCTTCACACATGAACAAGATGGCTGTCTGTTTCTATGGGTTCAATTGGTGAAATTAAGCAGTGAAATAAACAAAAAAAAGTTTTATATGTTTATTATTATATAAACTTTTTTATGGTAGTGAAAAAGTGAGTGATAACTGGACTGGAACTGGAGTCCAGAGCGTCAACAGCATGGGGTGATGGCTACATATACCGGAAACGTAGACTTCAAATTTCAAAGTAATTGTCTTAATGATTAATTATAAAAGTTTGTACTGTAGTCACTATAAAACTATTTTTAACATATCACTTTTCAAATAAGAAATGAGTTAAACATATTTTAGTCTCTATCGCTGTCAAATATAACGCTTTGGATTAATTAATCATTTTCATGTTTATTTTAGAAATGTGCAACTTCAGTCTGTTTGTTTAGAGCGACGTTACGTTTCTTCTTTAAGATGTATAAAGAAAAAAATACTGAAAAAAGACATTTGTTTTATTGTACATTTTTAGGTTAAGATGTAATTATAGATTTAAACTATTGTTATTGTTTATGTTAATGCTGTACGAAAATTATAAAGAAAAATTAAATAGTTTTAGGTTAAGAATAATTTGGAATCCCGTTTAATTCTTGTGGGCGCAGTGCGTGTCGTTCAAGTATTTATTTTGAAAACCTCGACAGGAAGTCTGGGTTTACTACACGCTTATTAATGTAGTTTTCCCAGCCTACGTGCAGACAGACATGAACTATCAGTAGTAAAGACGAGAGGAATCCCCTGATCCACTGACGACACGAGCAGACTCCTGCCTCTGCCGGTGGAGGTGATGCTACTCCTCGGAACCCTGTGTCTGACCCTCCTCACCGTGGCCCCGCCGGTGCCCGTGGAGGCTCAGTATGAGAAGTACAGCTTCAAAAGTTTCCCTCAGAAGGACATCATGCCACTGGACACCGCTTACGGCTACGCGCTGGAACTGTACGGGGCGCAGAACTGGAAGGAGAGCATCAAGTACCTGGAGCTCAGCCTGCGGCTCCACCGGCTGCTGCAGGACAGCGAGACCTTCTGTGGCCGCAACTGCAGCACCGTGAGCCGGGACAATGACACCCTGTTTTCCGACAGCAGCCTGCGCGTCATGCGCCACATCCTCCTGAGAGCCGACTGTCTTAAAAAGTGCAGGGCCAACTTTCCCGTCTTCAGCGTGTCTTATCCACGGAGGGACGTGTTGGACACCTTCGAGCAAAGGATACCATATCGGTACATACAGTACGCGTACTACCAGGTAATGTTAAACTTGGTTTGATGTCAAAAATGGGGATGCAAAAAAATACGGAAAAATACACTCAAATTGCTTCGGTTAATCGATCAACTTTAGTTGCCTTGCGTCTTGGGTATACTCTAGATCTCGTAACGGTCTTACTGCCTCATCTAAAGCGTGTGTAGTTGTTTCCGTGGGGCAGACTGACTCTGTCTGACTCAGCTAGAGGAAGTTGTTAGTGGACGACATGTGGAGTTTAAATCCACGGCTACTTCGTTGCGCCCCCCTGCCGACCAAGCAGGAGTTGAAGCATGTGCCACGTCTCTCCCAGTGTTCCCCTGGAACAATCCCCTTATTCTTCTCCTGGACGCGCACCGTGCTATAAACCAGGTGTGTTTGAACTGTGCAAACACACACACACACACACTTTCCCTGTCATAAACCATTTTTTCAGTTCATCTCCCTGTTGCTCTTTTCTGCACAGAAGTCATCTTACGGTTGTAATTACAGGGTTCAGCCCACTCCTGAAACTGTAACATGAACATGTTACTAATGAAAATACCACAGAAAACCGCGTTTATAAGTACGATGAGCAAATGCTATTAATTATGTGATAATTCACACAATAAAGTTGACTGTTTAGAAGGGTTCAAGGGCAAAAGAGTTTGGTACAAAGTGGAGTACTACAGTACTCTATTCCCACACCAGTTTTTGTGGTTCAAAATACACTTCATTCATAACTGTTTAAGCACAACAGCTAAGGCACATATACAGTATATTATTAGGAAAAACCCCACGGGCACACCACCGAACAAGTGTTTAGTTTAAATGACCTCATAATTGACCAAAATCTCATCCTGTTTAGTTGAAGACAACGCTGATATACTGGCAGGAATTGAAGAAAGACAATCACAAAGATCTTCTTCAACAGAAAATCTCATCGAGATATCAAATAAACTTCTGTGCTTTATGTTCCAGCTCAATAATGTGGAGAAAGCCATAGCAGCTGCTCACACCTTCCTGAAAAAGAACCCAACTGACCCCTACCTGACCAAGAACATGAACTACTACAAGACCCTGTTCGACGTGGAGGAACATCTCATTGACCACGAGGAGCAGCCATACGAGGTTTGTGGAACACCTCTGTCCACCAGTGGTTTCACTTCCACCCAGGTGATTCACAATCTGCTTTTATCACGTTGTACAGAGTGTGTTCCTGAAGAGTGTGACGCTCTACAACAATGGAGATTTTAGCAACAGTGCCCGGAACATGGAGCAGGCCATCTCGCAGTACTTTGAAATATACAACCAGTGCTTGGCAGGCTGTGAGGGCTCGTACGAGATCTTGGAGTACAAGGACTTCTACCCGACTCTGGCAGGTAAAGAACGCAGCTCTATCGTAATCTCTCTATTATTGTATAATAATGACATTAAAAGTCTCATTTCGTCCTGTCTCCTCTTCCCTACTCTCCTCAGATCTTTACACCAATGTGCTGAAATGTAAGGTCAAATGTGAGGACCACCTGACACCCAGCGTTGGAGGCTTCTTCGTGGAAAAATTTGTCGCCACAATGTACCACTACCTTCAGTTTTCCTATTATAAATGTAAGGAGTGACACTTTTCTCCAGGCTTTTCTAGTGCGCTGTGCGATGCATTTATGCCACTGGGATATTTCCGTGTTCTCCCACAGTGAACGATGCCAAGAACGCGGCCCCCTGCGCGGCCAGTTACATGCTGTTCGACCCCAAAGACCAGGTGATGCAACAAAACATAGTGTACTATCGGTTCTACCGGGAGCAGTGGGGCCTGGAGGACGGAGACTTTAAACCTCGGCCTGTGAGTGAAACGTCCTGCTACACTTTCACTTCTCGGTGTCTGTGGATGTTTTTATGATGCCATGATCGGGCTGCTGAAAGAGGTTTCATGCTTCAGTATCTAGTAAAAAGAAGCAGCTCAGTTCAGCTGTAACTGTGAGTGGTACTGTTTAGGGGTGCCAGGAAGTTCACACTGGCTACACTTGACCAAGGTTTTTCAACTAGAGTAGCGATCAGTCTTGGCGTGAACATAAACACAACCTCAGGGTGGTAATTAGAAACCCGTATACTCCTGAAAATATGTCTTTCTTCCAAAGCCAGTTCACAGTGGCAGCAGCTGTGGTAAACTGTGGGCCAATAAAATGATCAAAACCCTAAAGAAGAGAAAGGAGCTGCTACTGCTACTGTCGTTGACTACTTTGTCTTTCATCCTACAGGAAGCACTGAAGTATTTTAACCAGACGACCAAACAGAAGGAGATGCTGGAGTTTGCACTGAACTACTTACAAATAGATGATGAGGTAAGGTTTAAACAAATGCTAAACTTGTGTCAGTGTTGCTATAATGTTAGTATAGAACATTCATTATGGTAAAATTCCCTTCACAAGATTCTAACTGTATATGAAAAATTAAAAAAAAAAAAAGAGAATAAACCTAAACTAAGTAATATGTAGAAAATATGCACTAAATGCTCACAAATTAAAATAGAAATATATATACATATATAAACACATATATATGTGTATATATTTATATATAAACACACATATATGTGTATATATTTATATATAAACACATATATGTGTATATATATATATATAAACACACACTGTATATATATATATATATTCAATAATAATACTGTAGCGATTGCGTTTAAGGCACTATTTTAGCATTAGCTCAGTTTTAGCCATTAACTTATTTCAGTTTCACTGCAGCCCAATACCAAATGAAGTACAGACCAGCACCGGTCCCTGGACCAGGATTTGGGGACCCCTGACCTATATAATATGTGGTTTAAATGACGATATCCATCATGGTACTGACTTTAAAGAATCAGTAGACTAAATACAACCAGTTGTTGTGTCTCTAAGGGAGAGGAGAAAGATGGAGTATGTAAGCACAGCGGGAGCGTTTGGCGAGAAGAGGGAAGTGGGGGGGGGGGTTACTGCCAGTAGTTTGTGGTATGTGGCTGGGAGGTGTTGGCCACTGAGGCTGTGCCACATCTATTTAACTCAGCTAAACTCCTCCCACCACAACACTCAGCCTGGACGGGACAGTGGTGAGATGGAGGGAGAGGACTGTGAGTGGGGAGCGGGTTTATGACAGGCTGCTAAAGTGACAGATTTATAGGCGTACAGAGGAGAAAAGTGCCACCCTTGTCAGAGAAGAGTGAAATTACCACGACTGAGATTGTTATGCTGAACTTCTTAGGACGTGGTCAACCCAGAAGAATCTGTTCCGTCTCACTCTGAACACCCGGACGCAGAGTTTGAGGGGGTAGGAGATTATGAAGAGTCGTTCCTGGCTGAATGGTGGCAAGAACCCAAAACAAAGTGGGACACTGGAGAGGAGGCCACCTGACCTCTGACCTCATCTGTGAGCTGAATGCTACTGTCATTCTAAAAATAACAAACCAAAGACTGGTGACCCCCCCCCCCACCCCAGTGACAAATGGACCAACACCTCCATCAGTATTAAGTAGAAATCTAACTCACCTTCGTGTTGTTTCTCGTCTTTCACGCACCTGAAGAATCAGAGGACAAACGTCTTCAGAGATTCACCTTTGTCAAGTGACATGTGTCAGTGATTCTCCCACAGTCTTTATTTAATGAAACATAAAAGCCCAAGTTCTGCTGTGTAAGAATCTGACATGACCCCTGACTTTTCTTATGCTGTTGTGATCATTTGTCATAATTAAAATATTTTAATATTTTAATATTTTTTGTTTTGATTAGTTTTAAGAGTTCACTTAATAATTATTAGATGCAAATTGCAAGTGTGAAGATTGTTTTTATTGTTTTTTACCTTCTAATGGACTGCTGGACCATCCAGAGTGTTCCCCACCGTCGCCCCATGACTGCTGGGTCTGCAGCTCCAAGTGACCCTGAAAAGGATTAACAGTAGAGAACAAATGACAGGATTCCAGTACATGTGCTGTGGTAGTGAATAGTTGAAGGATTCCAGTACACCCAAATTGTGTTTCTAAGTATAAAGGATATTACTACAATACACCCACAACAATGGAAAACCAAGGGAATGTAATTATTAGCCTTTACTATATTTGTGCATCAGTTTGTCTCACCTGCTAGTGCAACACCTTACCAGCCCACAAGGAGGCACCATCTATCCTCAAAACCTCATTCTCACTTTTTTCTAAAAGTATAAACAAAAGTAAAAAAGACAGAAATAATTCAGAGTTCTGAATGACAAAACACTACTTCCAAAAAACATTTTACAGAGCAATGGAAAAGGAAGTGTATTTGTAATGTTTTCTGTGAACACTGGGGGGCATTATAGTCCTGGGAATGTTTGAATTTTCAGTCTTACATGAATTTCAACAGCCCTGTGAGGTCAATTCTAAAGCATTTCCTGGAATCCAGAACAATTCTTCTTTTATTGTCTTTGCATTTTTAAGTCATATTATATTTTTGAAAAAAAAACCTTTGATTTCAACATTAAAACTGCCGTTAATGTCGGTGCCATAAAACATCATTAGGAAATTAGTAACCCGTGAGACTGGATATGATTTCATGTTTTAGTATTTTATTATTTCCTAATTTCTCTCCATCTTCAAGCCATAGTTCCTTTATTTATTTTCGCCTCAATTCAAAAAGATAGTCTAAAAAATATGAAGGATGCATCTCACCCCCACCCTCCCCCTCCCCCAATACTCCCAAGCTCACAACAATCAGATTGTATTTGATACCTTCTCTCTTAATACTGTTATAACAATAGTGCATCCGCCATAGTGCAAAGCTCAAACAAACCAAAGTGACCTCTTGACACCCACAGTTTCTGACCGGCCGCCTCCTGAGCCCGCCCATTTCTACAACCATTTTAATCTCATTTACAGCAGAGGATCAATTTCAAGTCTCTGGGCTGTGGCGTTGGCCCAGGGCTCAGGGCTATCGACAAATGTACAAAATAGTCATGTGACATTTCCGTGATAGCTGGAATGACGTAAGAGTGGGCTAGCTTGATTTCACCGCCGTCTTTCAAAACGTAATGGCTGACAGCGTTGACCGCAGGAGAGAGCCGTAGGTGGGGGTCGCGTTGAGAGACCGTTAGCGATGTGTCCGCAGAAACATAAAGGTTTTCAAACAGCTTTTACATACGTTTTCGTACAGTGCGTTAACATTCAGCGTATTTTGCGCGTATTTACAAGGGTGTGCATACAGTTGGCTTTAGTGCTCGTTTTCTGTCAATGTGTGACGTCAGAACCGTTGAAATTGATTTTTAACAATGCGCCACAGCGCACAACAACTTGTAGAAAGAAGTGATTTTCTCGAGGTAAAAACCTGTGTATGTACCTCTGGCAGGACTAGTGTACCCTAACACTACTGTAAACACATATCTCTGTTATTTCTTTTTTTTTGGAAAAAAATGAACTCACACAGATACATTCCATTCACTCATGCAACACACACACACACACACACACATTAAAACTTCCTTAACGTACAAAGTTTGGGCCTGAAAGTGGTTGTCAAGCACATACGGGTACAGTGGAATGTATGTTGGTCGGAAACACTAAGTTACGGTCTCTGCTGCTTTTAAGTGTTGAAAATTTTCCAAAAATTGAAAAAAATCACATTTTTTTCTTTTCTTTTTTTTTTTTTTGAAATATTGTGCACAATGCCTGGACTCAAACTCCCACCCAGTGAGCAAAGACGGTCTGGTCCACTACCTGGGCTGCACAAACTATTTCATACAACCACACAGCATATTGATCCGGTGTGGTGACAGGCAACAAACTACAGGCTGAATGAGGTGTCCAGAATTTGAGCCAAAAATGTGTTCCAAATGTGACCCTTTTCCTCCATTGCATCTGGCCCAGTTTAACCTCAGCATTTGGTATCCAGATCATGGGCCACAAACAATCGAAGCTGGCTTCTTTCTGACCCAATCCTGCTTCAACATGTTGCATGGGCCAACCAGTTGTAGCCTTCTGTGGGCCACAAGTACTGACCTGTAGTCAATACCATATGTTAGCTTGTGATTCATCACTATATATGGCTGAGGGAATAATATTGCTTTTTGGTAAGCAATGAATTATAGGCCATTAGTGATCTACATCTGCTTCCAGGATGTGGGCCAGAAACAACAACCGTAGCTGGCCCATGTTGGGTTTGTCTGAAGAGAAAGTGACAAACTCTCCAACAGTAGGTAGCTACAGTAGACCAGAAATGCATGGCTCAGTGGGCCACAAATATGAATCCTCATCTGGCCCATGTTGGGCTAGATGAGGTCAAATCTGGATACCCAGTGGGGTCGCATTAGGTCCAATTTCTGCACTTGGGCCAAGTTAGAGTTTGTGTGACCCATCACTGGACTGGACCAAGTTTGCTATGTGGGAATGCACATGTTCATTCACTGGTCCACCGTCTTTCTTTTGTAATGCACTAACACCAGTCCTTCACTTATGGGTTATGTCCATGTTACTAGATAAAAGCAGAACTTTGTCCTACGTTGATCAGTCTCAGGCTTGGAGCCTGGAGTCCTTCTCCTTTCAAAAAAAGGAAACATTTCCAGCTCCTGTTTCATGTTTTCAGTCTCTCGTCTAATTGGACATTCCTACGGAACTCCAGTGGTGTCCGTCTTGGATAGAGGTGTGTTCAGGCAGGCAGACGTTGGAAAGACAGTTCTCTGATTGGATTGGTCCGCCACTGATATGTTCCTTATCACGCCGTCTCAGATCGGAGGAAGAAGTAAACAGACATAGAAGCACATTCTGCAGGAAGACCCTGGTGTCTCCCACGTGGACAGCCACCTCTACATTTTGACTGAGGCCTGGACACACTCTTCGGAGGACTTCTGGCAGTGGCTTGGTGATAGGAGCTCCGCAAACCCGCGACAAACACAAACGGAGGACACGAGGGGAGTGGAGTAAATGATAATTAGAAGACGTTTGGAGAGAATTCGAGACAGGAGTGGAAGACGATTTTCTCTTTTTTTTTTATCAGTTCCCCTCTTCTCCAATGTGAAAATGACACAGTGCGAGGAGGAAGACAAGAGGAGACAGGACGTAGAGACAGAAAGGCTGACAGTTGTCTTATCCACCACCAGATCTGCAAGAAGATAAAGAGGTAGTCATCCAGAGAAGAAGAAACAGGACAGGATGGTAGCTGGGTGACGGAAATAATGGACCCAAATAGCAAAACAGACAACTAGGCTCACATATGTTCATGTCTAAATCTGTTATCCATATGCCCAACATGTGGGCCACGTCATATCTGACTTCGTATGGCCCAATTAAAGATCCAAAAAAAATCCCCAAACTCCAAAAAAGTTATATATGTGGGCAGCAATCTCGTATCCAGAATGTGGGCCACAAAATCTCAGCAAAATATAATACGTCCAAGATCCCTGGCCCACATCACACAGGCCTGGGATATGCTATGATGTGGTCCACGATCTGGATATACCAATTGTGGGCCATTAAAGCCTCCCAGGTCATGTACAGGTCATTATAGGCCAAATGATTGGTTGTCTAGCCCATTATTTGGGCAGACCACCTGCTTTTTGTCATTGAGTGAATATTTGTGGTATTAATGAAAAACAAGAACTGATCAGGACGCTAGAGTAGTACAGTGACGTAGCAGTCAAGCTGATGGAATGTAGGATGGGACATATTAGTCTGCGGACAGGACATCATGAAGGTATACCTTCCTCTCCGAATGTTCCTGCAATCCATGGGCACAACAAAGAGAAGTGACAAAATACAGGTCAGAGACAATGAATCACCTTCTAACTCACGTGATTAAAAAAAAAAAGAAGCTGATTATACTGCTTAAAAATACACCTGCACATACACTCAGCACTTCTGCTGCACGAGCAGAGATCCTTTTTATAGATGCATCTAAATTAAGCACTTAAAATATTTAACTTCCACACAAACATAAACAGGCTGGCTACACTGCAAAACACTGTTCGCACTTTACCACTGTGCTGACAATGAACTTCTACACAGAAACCAGCACAGCATCTGCCCTTATTTAATTATTATTTAAAGCTCAACTGAGGTCATTTCATAATACAAAGGTAAGTCAAAAAGCTGCAACGTCTTCAGAAGGTGTCTGACATTAAGAACTAAAACGTGTCGAGACACATCCGTTAGTCATCTGAACAACTCAAACTAGTTCATTTTTCTTTATAAAGTGCTGAGATATAGTTTTTGATCAAAAAATAAGAATTTGAAATCAGGCAAATGTCAAATCTTTAAACAAAACGGCTCTATTTGATTTTCTTTTCCCAAAATACATGAGACTCATGTTGAGAAATAGCTTTAATTATTTAATTTTTTAATAAAATATATTCTTTTTGACTTTTCTTTATATACAATAACCTCTGAAACGGACAACAACGTACGCCTTCCTTTCCTGGAGACCTAGCGAGTGCAATATTTTAATGTATACAATACATATTTGACAAGTGTCTGTATCTTTCCGAAACATTTCCTGTCAGAATTCAGAATTCAGAATGCAGCATCACATGCAGCAGGTCGACAGCAGCCATGAAACTCCTAGCTCCACAGCGTCTGACAAGAAGCTAGGCCTCGGGTTTCCACCTTAGCATAAAGCAGGAGCTCTGAGCGGGTGGAGCTTCCTGCTCACTCATCATGCAGACATGCACAGACGGTCAGATCTGACTTTAAAAGGACTGATTACCTTTGCACAGACTCAACTGACTTTGGTATGTAATCTGCCAAAAATGATTAATTACCATCAAATTAACAGCCTTCAGAGAGCTGCAGGTACGACAGCAGTCCTTTTTAGGACAGAGTAAAAACAAGAATAACAACAGCCAGCATGCACAGAAAGAGCAGTGCTGAAGAAGCACAGCGTGGGCATTTGGGGAGGCCGTCTACAGGGAGAGAGACTTGGACGTTACAGTCTGGTTTGGTAAATCAACTCCATCTCTTCTCTCAAACGAACACATACTGATTGGTGGAAAGTTACGGTGAAAGAAACTGGAGGTAGGAGAGACTTGAAGATGTGGCACCAGTGAAGGTCACACTTACTGTGATTTTGAACAAAGTGCTACACTGGTTCCTGGCAGAAATGAAAACAGCCAAGATATCTTCCTATCACTAAAGAAGAGTCATGGCTGATGGGTTTTTATATAATGGGTGAAAAAATATTAATGTTAAAAATGTAGCCAAGATTTATAATTTAACTAAAATATTTAATGGTATTATTTAGCATCAACTTTTCCACATCATTATTATTTAAATACGTTTAACAACGTCAACCTTGGGATATTAAAAATGCCATCAAAAATTACTAAAAAAATGCTGTTAAGGCCTTATTAATACATTTATTTTATAAATAAATATGGATATTTATGGTTGATCTAGTTATGTTTGGCTAACTTTCCTTTCCTTGTCACTACTTTTTAACTCTAACATGTTTTATTTTTGGTAGCTTTCAGGTACCAGTTTGGGAGAGGAAATCAATATAGTGGTTTTCAAAAATCTGTCTGTAAACCAAACCACACAGACAGAGTGCAGAACTTTCAGGTCATTTAAAGCCTGAAACGTGTCTAACGTGTCCAAAGATATAGACAGCATTTCAAACACAAGCACGGACCCAGACTTAGATTCCCATCCTGCTTTGTGGCATACATTTGCAAACAGGCATCTAATTTGGACAGGTGAAGTCAGGATGGGCGGGGTCCTGATGTAAAAGCAGACACATACACAAAGGCATGCCAGAACTCTTACTTAAATCCCCATCCTGTTCCCCCTAGGACTATAGCTGCCAGGAGAATAGCACCTGCGATGGACCCTATTATGATATTGGTGCCACTGGGACCTGTGCAGAGGAAGGAGGGAGGAGGAAGAGGAGGAGGAGAGGCAGAAACAAAACAACACCACATTACGTCACCGACATCAACTAGAGAGAGAGAGAGAGAGAGAGCGAGAGAGAGGGGGGAGATGGTTGGACACCTGCAGACAGAAGAGGTGAGATGAAGGGGAGAGAGGAGTAAACCAGCATGAGGAAAAATGGAGGTGAGAGAACAGGCGGGTGAGCGAGGGAGGTCAGGAAGACAACAGTTACCGATAAAAGGGGGTGAATGTTTTATGACTTTGTTCTAATTCCCTCCCACCCGTCTCTCCTGCTCTCTCAGCTGGACACCCTCCCTGCTCAGGGCTTCATTTGGGCCTGTGAGAGCAGCTGCACAATATCTAATATGTCATTGGGAGACTGTGAGAAAGTAGTGGAGACACTTGAAGATGGCAGTGCCTGCAAGACACACACACACACACACACACACTTGTATTGTGCAGGCACATATTCTCTTGTGAACAGTGTCCTGACACTTCGGTGTTCTCGGGGGACGCAGCAGGAACAGCAGCACACTGGTCTGGTCTTTGGTGCCAACTCTAACCAGGGTGACTTGTGTGTGTGTGTGTGTGTGTGTGTGATATTCAGCTCTGTTCTAGTACATGAAGCTGCGGTGATGATGCACAGACACCATGAAAGAGAGGAAGAAAGAGTGAGGAAAAGATAAAGACGCTTCAGAGCAGTGTGAACCTTTCTTCTCGGGGCCTGTTGGGACCGTGGGTATGGGGATCGGATCAAAGACGCTGCAGTCCTTCCCCGTGTAGTCACTGGCACAGATACACTTCACCTCATTACTGCAGGTCTGTGATCAGAGAGAAAGAGGAGGAAAGACACCACAAGCAGTCCGGTCAACAAAATTGACTTTTTCTTTTAAGAAACTGAAGAATAACTGTTGCAGGTGTTGTCATAGCAACATGTAAAACCACTGGTATGTGTACAGTTTATAGGCCAGATGACATTCCTGGTCAGGAAGGAAGCTATGTGACCTCAGGTTATGTCACATGACCAATGACAAACCACCATGAGCCAAAGGATTGAAAAATACACCACTGAATTACTAGAGAGCAGAACTCTAAATGTTCATTTTCAAGGTCAGTATCAGTATGTCATTTCAAAGTTAAACTGTTTTGCCTCCTTCCTGGTAGCACCATCTCCAAAGCAACAAATCCTGGGATACACATGTGGGGTCCACATGGAGGATTAATTTGGAGGTTGGTGGAAAGTAACAAATAAATAAGGCACGAATAATAATGACAAGTATATCAGTTCTAGAGTGGAACACTTAAATAAATATACATACTTGTATAAGGTATGGAAGGTAGCATTGCTGCTTTTGTAGCTAAGCACAGCTGAAGGTAGCATTGCTGCTTTTGTAGCTATTGATAGACTTCTGCAGTAAGACTATGAGCAAGCTCACTGAAGTACTACAGAGCTCTTGCTTTAGTATTGCAAGGTGAAGTACTTTGTTAGTCTTGTAGGTGGAGCTGCTGTACTGCTTTATGTGTCTTTGTAAAATGATGTGGGTTTTTTTTTGCAATTCTTGCAAGTCTGCTGTGAACTGTACACGTCTGCTTCGTCAGCTAAGCTGCACTGCTAGCTTGGTTTTCCAGGAACGTCTCGGCGACTTGAGAGGAAGAAAGTCTAGAACTCAGCAGCAAGTTCATACCCAACATATGACAGTTTACATTACATTGTATTTAAGTGGTTTATTTTTGGACATTAATTAAACCACAGGGGTATTAAAAAAAAAAGGCAGTTATTTACCCCATGATCTGAACAGATGCGCCCAAAGTTTGATCCTGGACAAGTGCTTAAGTTGAACATCGCCACAGGGAGGCAGCGTCGCTCCAGACACATCATGTTGGGACCACAGGGGGTGCCGTCCTCTACGTAGCCCAGATCAGAACCGTCTTCCAGAAGAGCGTGGCCACCTCTGAGTGAACACAACACACAGGCTGGTGAACAGGCACTAGGACACGGCCCATGTAGAGTGGGTGCGGCACACACCTGCAGTCCAGGTACTTGTTCTGGTGGTAGAGGGTGAAGCTGGTCACCTCACCTTGGAGGTCACCAAATTTCGGCTTCATTGTGACGTTGGCACAGAATAAGAAGCCGCATAAGACATCCCTGTATTAGTGAACAGTGGTATAGGGTTAGTCACATAAAGACAGGAAGTCGTTAGCGTTAGCAAAGCGATGAGAAATGAAGCAGAAGCATCATTATAAGAACATCCGCTGAGCACATTTATTTATTTTACTGCCTTTTTACTTCCTCTAAGTCGTGACAACCTACATAGATAAGTAGACTTTGAGCTGAGTTACTCTAACAAACCTTTTAATTCATCTGCTGAGAACCTTTAGCTTTACTCACTTATACTCTTGTTGTTTCGGTAAAAACCTCAAGATGTGCACAAACTGCTCACAACAGCTGAGGCAACACTTTATTACTCTTCAAAGTAAAACTCAAGTAAATGGATTCAGGTCAGTGTGACTTACGGCTTATTGCACTGCAGCCAGCCCTGTCCTCCAGGACCTGGACCGCAGTTTCCCTTTTCCGTCCCCTCAGCGTTCAGCTTCTCGTAACAAAACCTGTCGGCCGAATCTAGGGGGGCAGATAAAACCACGCGGCAGTTACCAACCCAGAGCACAAAACGACTCCTGCAAACAAATCCATAAATCCAATCCGATGATGTCCTGTACTCACTGTAGCCCCACAGTGCTTTACACTGCCCGTCTCTTGTCCTGCATCGTCCTCCGTAACAACGGCCCTGGACAAAAGCGATGACACCGAATAAGTTTGTATCATGCTGAGATTGCAAAGAGGAGCAAACACTGCCAAACACCTCTGACCTGATTGCTGTCACACATGTAACCGTCCAGCTTGTGGACATTGTGAGGACACTGCCAAAGAGGAGACGTACGATGTGTTAAATATATTTCAGCTACTTTTGAAATATATCTTCGTACATTCAGGTATTTCCTGGTCAACCTACTGTATATCCAAACAGGACATGCAGTATGCCATACCTGGCTGGAGTCGCCCATGCAGGTTTCTGGGATGTCACAGTCGTTCACAGTGTCTCGACACACCACACCTCTCTGCTCGTACTGGGAGAAAACATTAGCACGCCATCAGTAACAATCCTTGCAATAATATCATTATTTATGATATAGCCTACATCAGGGGTCACCAAGTATATTTGTCAGAGGGTCAGAACTTCTCTGGACAGACACCTTAGGGCTGGACACTCAAATATAATGAAATAACCGTCTAAGGGAGTGTATACGGGGTCATAAATGATAGAGATTTCAGTTGGTTGAACAATTCAGTGGGCCAGATTCGGCCTGCGGGCTACCAGTTGACAACCACTGGCCTACATGGTCAAATTGGCCCAGATTAGACAATAAATATTAATAATAATTAATAAGCCTTTAGTGGTCAACATTTTGTATTCAACACATGGGCCACATTGAAAATAGACTTAAACCAAAGTCAAACCAAGCACATAAAACTTTTTCATCACTTTGTCATGTGTGTTTGTGTTTTTTTCTCTGTCTTCTCGTGCTGACTCAGTACTGTACCTTGCAGCCACTGCAGCAGAGTCCGTTGCTGCACATCGCGTCGTGCGTAAGTGTGCACTTCTTACAGCAGGCTCCTCCGCTGCGAGCGCACTCCTGCAGACACAGACGTGAGAACGAGTCACGGCCGCCTCACACTGTCAGTGCTGAGGTACAGACATTTGGAGAGAGAGCAGGGTTTTTAACGCAGTCCCACTGACTACTCACCACCTGGGATCCACAGTCACACTCCTCCCCTGGCTCCACAAAGCCGTTCCCACACTCTGGAGGATCCAACAGCTGACGGAGACAAGCAGTATACAGTAATGAGCACCAGACCAAGGTAAACACCAGGACCCTTAAACAAAAATTGTTCAAGTTTTTTCAGCACCTTGTACATTTTACCTTCTCATATCTTAGCTACTCAAACCTAAGGTGATATATGCTATATTTCTAACTGCCCTCTAAACATTTTGCAGCTAAATATACTTATTTTCTTGGACAGTTTTGTGAGCCATTTATGGTTAACTTTTTGGCTAATTTTTAGCTATTTCGTTTTGTTATGACTTCAATCTTAATTTAAATTATTATTTGCCATTTTAAGCCAATACAAGCCAAATGTTTATATCCTTTTTTATGATTGTGGCTGATATTTATTAAAGTTTTTTTGGGAACCTTAATGTATTTTATATTCAATGTAGTTTTACTTGATGTTTGAACTAATCTGATGTGAATTAGATGCTATTATGCTATCCTTTGTATCACCTCCCATTTTGACCCCTCTTTCAGGGCTAAACTTTAGTTGTATTATAATAAAAATAATTTTCAACATTATTTTTTATTTAGGAATACTCAGGCTATTTTCCATTTTTTTATACATTTAGTTTATCTGCTTGTAGTAATTTCTACATTCAACTGTGCATACAGCTGCAGCTCAGATGCAGAGTTACTGTAAATGGGAATATTTAAATCTACTGCAGGGCATGTGAAAAATCTTACGACTACCTCACATTTTTTTTAAGATGAGTATGCATTCAAAAATGAGGACACCTAGACGTGTCTTCTTCTCTGTCATGTCCTACATGTCTAGGTACTTGTGTCTCACCTTGTTAGGCTTGTTAAAGAGACAGCTTCCTCCTCCCTGGAGCAGGAACTGGATGTACTCATCAACACTGCAACGTGAAAATTTTCTGGGCAGATAGTATCTGTGCGAGCGCACACACACACATATAGGTAAAGACACACACAATACAAGAGAAGAATACATTTAAGAATATATTGACAGATCGACTCAGAATGACTTCATTTGATATGATTTTTTTCCCCCTGAGACATCAAATTTGAGCTGTTTTTAACTGTTTGACAGATTTAAAAAATATCATTTTTAATTGGCTAATTGTGTCAAATAAAACAGGGAGTCAACAGGTTAAAAACACAACTGTAACTGTTGCAGCTAGGAGATCTTCAGTTTAATCCCTGGTGGGTTTTTTCCCGTTCGTTCTCATGTTCCCTGACTATATTCCTCCAACACTAAATACACACTAAATAGGTCATAGTCCATTAATGTGAATGGTTATTGGTCTCTGTGTGTTGCCCTGTGGTGTTGAACTGTCTGGTATGTGCCCCGTCCCCCCTCTGGGACTGATGGGAGCTGCCCCACCACCATAGTAAGAATAAGGCGGTAGAAGATGTTTGTATTTACCCTGTGTCTTCCATGATGCAGCCCAGCCAGGCATCGGGACACCTGCAGTCTCCTGCGTACAAGCGCATAAAGCAGTTTAGAGTGAGGAGGTGTGACTGTCAATAAATCAGGGTGAAAATAACCGGGGACCATCCCAGCTGTGACAATTCACTCTGCTTTACATACTGCAGCGATGATGTCTTTTTCTAGTCGCTGAGATGTGGAATTGACCGTGAATAATGGACCAGGATTCTCTGCACCATCAATCACACAGACCATTGTCCACTGGCAGAAATGCTCTAACCCCCCTCCCCTCACCGCGCACCTCCCCCCACCTGGAACAGGTGACTAATCACCTAATGGAAAAACCTAATTACCACAGACAACCTCTGGACAGGGACACCAATGTACAGCTCTCATTTAACAAAGCAGCCCTCACCCGTCTCCCTAACTATTGCGCCCCTGCCTCCATTGTTTCCACACTGGTCCTCTGTTCTCCCTGGTTAATTCAGCTGAGCTAATAAAGCTATAGATCTATCCTTCTCATCATCAACAAAAGCCAACGTCACATATCTTTTACCTGCAGAGTTGCGGGCGTTGTTCCACTTCATCCCGATGTTCTGGCCAAGACTCTGGCAAAGAGTGATGGCCATGGCACCAACACTGCCATACTGAAACAATATACATAAAAAGGAGTCATTACGGCTTTGGTGTTGAGAGTTAGCTAGAAAATGCTAAGAGATTAAAAAAAAAAAGTAACATTTGCTAAACCATCGGTGTAAACAAGCCAAAGTAAATGTGACAGGTTTGTGTTAGCTTAAGTAAAACAGTTCAGTGTTAGCCAAAACAAATGCTTCTTCTTAGTAATAAAAAAACCATAAAAGTCCTAAAAGGGAGGTCTGTTAAATTTCTATATTAAATAATGTTAAAGTTATATAATAATGTAGCTAAGTAGCTAACAAACAGCAAGATAAATGGAAGTTTACCAAAACAATTGAATTGCAGAAAATGCTAAACATGTAAAAACAGACATATATTTTATATATATTATGTTAATCACTAACCAAATCAAAATTAGACCAAAGGTTGTTTACAGTTTTAATTAGCTAAAACATAGCATAATGAGGCAAAATATCTTGTGCTCATAAATAAAATGAAGAAATTGAAAAGGAAAAAAAATTACAAAAAAAATCCACTGAGCCTTGGTTAAGATAAAACAAAAAAACTATTCAGCGAAATCCCAATTATTCTCTCTCTTCTTCCATTAACTGAGAATAATTCCTTCTTCAAAACCTAATTTGCTCCTGAGAAAAATATACAACTGACCATATTCTGGTCTCATTTCTTATTACATTTTAACTCTCATCACAGCTGTATGTAGTCAGGCTAACCACTACGCTATGGATCCTACTTAAACTAATTCTAAATCTACAAAGAGATTTACATAGAGATGACTGCATTTCAGTGGAACGTCCCCTTCCGTCTGTCCCTACCTCGTTGATTCCTCCACCCCTCATTGGTGAACACACTCCTCCGGTGTACGCCGTCCCACTGCGGCTACTGTGAAATGTACGACCTCTAAAGATCAATGGACAAAAATTGAGAAATTATCAATAAAGCCTCCAACGAGGTCAGGTCAATTTCAGCATCTCAGATATTAGCTGCTGCAACCCAGCAAACATGGAGTTTCTGAATATATACAATCTGAATCTGTTGTACTTTACTGTGAGGCCTTCAAGAGACTTCATACAAACAATTAAACATCATTTTCAAATCAGGTAGGACAGCACTGTCCTTCAACAGAATTCTTACGAGAAAAGCTGGACAACGTCGCTCTGCTCTTTGATGTTGTCCTTCCTATACTTCATGAAATTCTGCAGCGTTATCAAAGGGTCTTCAACCACCGGCATCATATTTTCAGAGGTCCACGTCTCCATGGCCACCAGAACAATCCTGGTGTTCAGTTGTTCCTTGTAGATCTAGGGATTAACAACAGAGATGTCAATCAGACTACAGCCGCTCTGTCTTGGCACCTGTGCTGTGAACACGAATCCTTTACTGATGCCAAACTTAAAAAAAAAAAGAAAAAAGCATGGCATGAATTTTCACTGACAGGTGGCCCTGTGGGTACGAGGACGAGACTAGAAGAAAGGGATTTCAATTTTATTCCAAACAGTTCTCACCGCGTCGGCCATGTTGACCACAGCTTTGGCAAAGTTCTTGGTTTGGCTGCTCGAGCTACGCAGCTGTACAAACTGTGGGAAGACAAAGACACACAGATGATGCAGAGAGGGAGTTGACACACTGTTCTGGTGCTGTTCTCCACAAAAAACAATAGATTCATCGCACTATTGTGATAACTGTGTGGATTCCATAATCATTCATGCTGATTTTTAATTTGAAAAATGTCTTTTCTTCTAATGAAAACAAGTGCCATTCAGATTCTAGATATTTTAAAATCTTTAAAAAAGTTGAAGAGACCCACACTGGAGACAAAAGCTCTAATTTCTAAAATGTAAGAAAGTTACATTTATAGCATTGAAAAACAGCATAGATTCAAAGCAAAAACTGCTAAAACTTTAATTTTTTTATTAACTGGATATATCTGAAATATTAAAATTTATTAAAAAACATTTTTAAAAAAGTGCAGATACGACTAAAACTAAAAAAAAATTTTAAAAAAAGTGCAGATACGACTAAAACTAAAACTTTATATTTAAAAATATTTCGTTCATCTGAAAAAATTAATTTAAGGTAGGTTAAAACATTCACTTAGCCTTACTAAACTCACAATGTCATTGTCGTTGACCACCATCAGCTCAATGTATTTGGTCTCAGTCTGGACAGAGGGCTTGCGAACAAATCTCTTGGCCCGCCTCAGGACTCCAGACCCCTGCTGCTCCCTGGTTCGGTCCGATCTGTCACCACCACCACCACCATCACCTCCTCTGCTATCCCACTCACTGTCCTCTGTACAGTCTGGCCACACACAGAAACAACACTGTAGGCAGTCATTTCACTGATTTATTTTTTTACCCAGTAAGTAGAATAGTAGCACATTAGTGTCTCAAATTCAGTCAAAATGTTACATAATACCACGCCGCCACTATAATTAACCATTTTTCATTGAACTCAAAAAGACATCCCATTTAATTATCACCACTGTTTTGTCTGCGTGATCTTTTCTCACGAGTGGGAACAATGCCAATTGTTCGGATTTCCCAAAGAATAAAAGAGAAATTTTGGGAGAAAAGTTTAAAAGACAATTACTGCCTGAGGTACTGTGGTTGGTTTATGCCACAAAATAAAAGCATACTTTCAGTCAGCATGATGGAGGATAGAGATTGAGAAAGAAAAAATATTATTCTAGTGTCAGCGGAGTATCAGTAGAAGTACTTTTACCTGTACAGTGAGAGGAAAGTCTGATGTCAGGCATCCTGTGGATCAAATGAGAGCCATCGTCCTGCCAAAGACAACATTTAGATAATGAAAATCATAGTTTAATACAACTATTCAAAGGAAAATGACTTCTGGGTAATGCATTTTTAGACTCTTTACCTGATTGGTCCTGTTGGGTATGGGCTCAATCCCATATGTGAAGAAGCCATCAGAGAACATGCCACTGAGAAACAACCATAGAAAAATGTTAGAGTTAGTCAGGTTATTATACATTTAAACAGGACACACAGCCTGGGTTGGTCTGATCGTAATCTGAAGAAATATTACAGCGCTGGTATTTGTAATTATCTTTGTAATAAATAAACTGGTATTACACTATCTGTCCTAGTGGCCAACAAGTGGCCACATCTGGTGTCCAGTGGCCCAAATGTAGAATGGTGGGCCAGTAAAGTAACCAGTAAAAAAAATCCATGACAAAATTTGGTCAATCCCAGAAGTGGACCACATACCATCCCATAAAGCAATAAATGATGGGTGCTTAGTGGCCCACATCTGAAGTTGTGTTGCCCACGACTTAATACAATATACAGAAGTCAGGAATCAAACCTAAATCAAATAATCATGATGCTGAGGTGATGGTGCATACATTAGTATAAAGTAGGCAGTGATACCAAATATGGGCCAAATATGTGGGCCCCATGGCTTATTATTCACCTGCTACATTCTGCCATTCACAGATCCTTATGTATGACGCAGGCTACTTGAACTGATGTGACCCACCATATGGGTACAAATGGACCAGTTCATCTTCTTCATCAATTCATTTCTAAATGTTGGGAAAATGAATACGTTTTTGGCTCATATTTGAGGTTATTTCTTTAGGTTTTTACATCAGTTAGCATGTTTTTATTTTCTGTCTAAAGCATATTGATTAGCCCTATGTCTTTAAAAAGTTTTTGGTAAAAAAAAAAAAAAAAAAAAAAAAGACTTCAAAACAGCTCACCATAGGCCGTGACATGTGGAGACGGCAGCCCAGGACTCTGGGATATCTCGTAACCTCCCCTGGTAGTAACAGTGCTCCCCTCCCTACAAACAAATACACATCCATGTGTCATCAACCAACACAACACATAATATTATCCTCAATCGAACGCTCCCGTATGTAGACCTGCAGTGAAACCCTCTGAACGGCCAGCCCGTACGGGCTACTTCCACTGTGTCATTTATGGAACAGTTTATGACCTACTTGTTAGCGGCGCTCTACTCCACACTGTTCTGCCTCACTGACAGCAGAGGTGGAGGTGGACCCAGAACAGGGATCTCTTCAATAAATCAACACTCCAGTCACCCACACAGTGAGATCTGAGAAAGCAGCATTAGACGGAGGCCTAACGGAGCGAATGAAACCAAAGGGATGAATGTGGAGAGGGAAATCTAGGCTGTTCCTTTTCATGTCCTTCTAACAACCTTGGCTGACACAAAGAGCTGGGCTCACACAGCCCTGGAGCAGAGAGTGGGCACTCTCCCAGGCAGCAAACTGAGCCACCAACCCAGACAAGGATGGATCACAGCTTTACTGCTGATCCAGTCTCCTGCTCCTGACCCTAATGTCCAGCTTTTTCAGCCTGGATTTAATTTGGACTCATTCATGAAACAATAGGTTCAAATTAAGCCGCTCCATGAATGTGTCCAAATCAGACACTGGCTGTGAGAACTGGATGGATCAGGGTCTGGACAAGGTCTGTTCTTGGACTCACTGCCTCAATGTTAACCACTCTAGTGTGTGTGTGTGTAACAGCAAAACTGGTCCACATCGGCTGAAATCTTGTTTCTTAGTGAACTGATCAACTGACCCAAATTTGGTCTGGGCCAGTCAGGCTACAGGTACGGCCCACAAACCTCAACCACACGTAGCCCTGTCTGGCCCCTCTTCACGCCTTCCACATTTTGCACTCTAGATGTGGGTCACTAAAGGCAAGTCATTATTTATTAAAACTCGACCAAGTGACCAGGTTTGCCCTGTTGTGGCCTTGTAATCTGCTCGGAATAGCAGCTGTTTGCTAGTTACACTTTGTCACATATGGATAGATACTAAATCTGTCACGCTACGCTTCTCTAGAAGATCTGTGTTTAACAAACAAGACCTTGACCAAAAATACAGAATAGAGATTGGACATCCTTGAATGGATCACACCTGCCGTGTCTGGCAGCATCAGAGCTGCCATTTGAGGCCGACACCGTGCGGAGCAGCAATCTGGCCTGACTGCAGGGTCTTCATCCTCTGCTCTGTCAGCCTCACACTCCTGCAAGCAAGGCAGGGAACTTTGCCTTCAGCATCCCAAACATCCTCAGAGTGACTCTTCCAGGATTCCAAACCTACTTCGTTCCTTTGTATTAACTGTCATTTTACTCCTCCTCCTCCACCTCCTCTCTGACTGGTTCTGAGCTTCCTCTCCTCTAGGTCTTCTTTCATTCTCCTTTCTGCCAAGAACTTAATGACACTGCTGAGCTAACTGGCTGCTATGGTAACAGGCCTGTGATTGGTCAGAAGGACTGAGGTAGAGTTCGGAGCAGCCGTAGAATGTGGCGACGTGAAGTGATGTCGGTGGTCGGGTGGGCGGATGCTGAGAAGGGGAAGGAAGGGAAGGAGGGGGTCACTGAGCGGTACATTTGTACCGAAAAACATTAGCCGCCCCCCCTGGCTGTAGGAATGCAGTGACATTCCTCTGCTGTGTCCTGACAAACAAACAACATGTGAAGGCTGGAATTCATTTCCAGATTTTTCCATGAGGGCTCTCCATTTCTCACACATTATGGTTTTACACCACAAGAAAGAATTGTCTTTTTGTCTTTGGTTAACGAAGGGAAAGAAAAGGAGATACATTCAGAGGACTATACACACAAAAAAAGTATATATATAAAAAAGAAATTAAATGAAAAATCACGACCAAAATAACAGGGCGCTAAGTGAGAAATAATCTGAAGTATGAAGTACTTAAAGTTCTCTATGTAAGTTCTTCACATGATAAGTTGCTAAATGCTAGCTAAAAAACGATATAAGTTATATATATATATATACACACTACATATATGTATATAGAATATTAGCTTAAATACAGTTAAGTTAGTTAAAAATTGCTATTAAAAAGTACCCAAAAAAGTTAAATGAAATTTAAGCATATAACTCTCACGTCGCATTCCAGTTTATAAAGTACATGAAAAACTGTTTTTCATAAATAATACAATGGGAAAAAACATCATCCATATTCATTTATAAAGGACGAGGAAAACACACGCTCATGTTCTGAGCCTTAAAATATGTATGAAACAAAGACATACATGTGGTTTCTCATCTGACAAAACACAGTTTCAGGAAACACTGAAACGAAACAGTACTATAGCAGAAAAACAGTACAGATAATGTGATACGAAACACAGTTCACATGGTAAACAACCTACCGTGGACTCTGCTGGTCTGCCGTCCTGGTTAAAGTGCCGTTCCACATATTCTGAAGACAGAAGGTGGCTGCAAATAAAGAAGGCGACAATTATTTTCTAGCAGTACAGTTTGAATTAAAACAACCAATCGTCAAAAAAAAAAAAAAACACCCGGCTCGTATACATATTGCCTTATATTTTTAGGTCGACAACAGCCAGTTTTTAGTGTGTACTGGTCCAAAACAGGGGTCAAAAACAGGTGTGGTTAATAATGGGTGTGTTTAAGGTACACTGACATTAAACACAGCTTAAAAAATACCGTATAGAAAGGAGCCCCATTTGATGGAAGATATTTGGACTACATTTGCCAAGTTAGATTTGAACCACTTTATGAAGACAAAATGTAGGCCATATATTTTTTCATGGTCAGATGAAGCCCGCAGTGTGGGACTGGTGCCAGAAGTGGCCAAGATTTGCATGCGGTGTTGGCTTTAACAGCAAAGAATGAAAGATGGCGGGAGTACTTCATATATTACTGGTCACAAAGGTCTACAGACTAAACTGACCAAATGTGAACGTCATGAAAACTCTGGGGCGGGGGTCTTCAACCTGTCTAGCATTTGTAACATTGGCCGCTGCTTTAAATGCAAATTTTAAAGGTAAAAGAAACGCATTATTTATTTTTGTTGTATGTTTATTTGTTCTAATAAAATGAATAATCTTTACAGTACGTCTAATGGTTTACACTCTTCAGTCTTATTATAGGTATTATTTTAAGTTTTGGTGTCTGTTATTGTGGTTTTGCTTAAGTAATTAATGTTTTATTTGATCGGGTTTCGTTAATTATATAGGTCAGTTTTTTGTTCCTGGTCTCCTGGGTTTATATGTGGCTATTTAAAGCTGTTGCCCCTCTTTTAGAAAGAGACTTAACATGGTAAAAATGTCTAGATAAAATATCTCCGACTTCATCACACACAGCCAGACCAACGCAATGACTTCACACACTGATACTAACTGGTTTAGCTGCAGCTCCAGTGTAAAGGTGCGTCCGAAGGCTTCAACTTGGAAACAGCTGCGGGCCAAATGGACAGGCTGGAAGACAGAAAAACACACCAGGGTGATGTACTGTCGCCGGCATTTTGATATACGACAGTGTGATGAAAACAACTCTGGTCAAGTGTGATGAAACCCTCAGTGATTTCGGGAAAAAAAAAGTCTCATGAATAATTCAACACAATCAATACCGTGTGTTCATCCACGGCCAAAATGAAGTGATTGATAAAGTCCTGGTCGATGGATATCGGCTGCTGGCGGCAGTTTAAAAGCTAAAAGGAATTTTGTGATAAAGACGGATGGAGAAGGTGTTGACAGAAGAAGGAGGAGGAGGAGAAAAGTTTACTGGTACATCTATATTCATCCCCAAACTGTGCCAATGTCTAATGGACAGCTGCCAGAGCTGAGGAGGTGAGGAGAAGACAGAAGGAGCAGAAGAGAGAAAGTGATGGAGGGAGAGTCAGTGCAGACTAAACAGTGTGACTCTTCAGCTGCTCTGACTGTGCCAGCGCTGTTTTGATCTCAGTCTGGAAGAGAAACCAGGCTGCAGTGAATCACTGGGCTTTCACAACACAAACGCATCACAGTGGAGGGATTAGTCTCTTTGTTGAGTAAAAACAACAGATTTCTTACTAGTGGCCAGGTGACAGCAAACATGGACGCCCTTTTAAAGCACATCTCTGTTGTGATACTAGACTTTACAGTAGAGAAAAGACAGGATCAGAACGGGCTTTTCTGGATGTCAGGTTCAGATCTAGCTCGCTAGTTTAAGTTTTACATGTTGCGTCTATTATATACTGTATCGACCACATTCCATTTAACCCACTGGACTCTAAAGGTAACAGTTGTTAGATGTTATGAAACATCTAACAGTTAGCAAGTAACAAAACAAGACTAAGACAAAACGTCAAACAAAATAATTAAAAAAATAAATGCAACATTCTTTGTTCTTCTTGAAATCATCCAACGTATTTCATACAGTTTTCAAATAAGAAGTTATCAAAATATATTAATAACACAACTAGTCATAAATTCCACCATCCATTAGCTTCACGTTTTGCTAATAAGCAGCAGACACACATAGTCGGACGTAATGTGGGGAAAAGTATTTGTTCCACCAAAGCCTGGTTTTGTGTAGGCTTCATTTTTGAGTCAGCTCATCAGACCGGCCTCACTGTCTTGTCAGCCGTAAAACAATGTAAAGCTCCGGCTGACGGGCTGACTGACAGAAATGCCAAATGCCAAAATGTCACTGTTTTGAAAGCAACTGTCACTGCATCCTGCAACGCCACCGTCAAGATGCACCGTAATGACTGAAATCCACCGACGCTAAGAAGCTACAGTTATTTATAGAAACTGTCACATATTTTCTTAAACTTTTTTCCATATTTATTATTCTATCACTTGGATTAGCCATAAATAAAACAGATAAAAACAAATTGTCTTCCTAACATAAAATAGACAAAAAACATTTAGTCACACTTATACACTTATATATACTAATATTAATTTAATTTATTTAAATTATTAATTTATTGCGATTATTCATGATTGATCACTAGCTACCCTGTGATTATTCAGATTAAAATTTTAATCGAGAGCTCTAAAATCAACAGAAACCACCAAACACAGTACAATTAATAATAATAAAAAAATTGTAAAAATAAAAACCCTAATCAAATCAAACTTCTTGGAGTACTGTATAACTGCTCATGATTAATAATATTAAGAAATATGTGTCAACTTGACGAGACGACAACAAGCAATGTAGGATCAGTCAGCTCAGCACGACGTGACAGAAAAAGTTCAGCTGCTGCGTCTAAATTTATCCTGTCCCTTTCTAAGTGTTTTAAATCATTAAAAAACAGACGCGGCAGCAGGACGGGAATAAAACGGCAACTACACGAATAAAACCGTGGACTTCAGCATCACTTCGCCTTCACGAGTGTGATGCTGATGCTGTGTGTGTGTCTAATGAAGTCCATCATAACAGTTCAACACTGTATTAACAAGACGGAGTGAGGGGTGTTCACAGAGACAGAGGAATGGATAGTGGGTGGGGTGGGGGTGGGGGGGTGGTTGGTTGAGTGCTCTTGGGACATGGCGCACAGAGACAGAGGAATGGATAGTGGGTGGGGTGGGGGTGGGGGGGTGGTTGTTTGAGTGCTCTTGGGCCATGCAGCACTTTTCACACAGGAGTGTTACATAATTAATGGAGACGCACTTCAGCGCACCACTGAATGTTGGAGAGGAAACCAGTGGCTTAACACAACCGGACATGATGACGGTATATTGCAGGAGGGGCCGGATCATCGTCAGTCACTGACCCGATCGTTTCAGCAGGGTGGACTCAGGGCGGCTCAGAGTCAGAAGGTCAGAGGGTTTGGTCTGCGTTGGGCTCCCTTCACATTACTCTGCTTCTCACTGCAGCGGCTCATGGGGGATTTTCACAGACTAAGTGGGTCAGAATTACAAGGAGCAGCAGTAAAAGAGACTGGTGCAGGACACCACCCTGCACTGTTACGTCCCTGTGCTGCGCACAGAGCAGCAGCAGCAGCAGCAGCAGCAGCAGCAGAGAGACGAGCACTGCGCTGTTCAACAAACACTGGGAAAAAAAAAAAAAAAAAGGGGTTCCGTTCATCGGTGTAACACTCTTTAGGTGCGATCACACTCCTTTATGTCTACAGAGACAGTAACACTTACATCAGCAGGGTTTGCCTTTATTGAGGATTCGCGCATCCATTTATTTAATCTGCTTGTGGGGGCGGGGCTCACTGCAGACACTAAGAGACAAATAAGGATTTCCAAAGACACTCGTACCTCTGGTTAACTAGCCCCAGTCTCCAATAGGAATTATTGGATATATATTGGATATATATATATTTTAGACTGAGGAAGGAACAAGTCAATCACAAACAGGGGAGAACTTTCAGAAAATCCAGGCAGAAACCCAGTCCTAACCCCCACAGCACTGTGTGTGCTTCAGTTTAGATGAATACAATCATACCATGCAGAATGTATTAGGGTTTAGTCACCTGAAAACCACTATGAGTACTACTATTGTTGTGACCCTTGACCTTAAAGTGACTAATAAGGATGACAGGGTTTAACCTTAGTTTTCTTGCACCTAATTTGTTGATTTACTCCATTGATCAGAGTAGGATATTCTATATATAAGTACTTACTTTTCATAAATGTTTCGCTAGTTTTTTGGCTAATGTTTACTGTAGTAGGCTATGTTTTTGGCATAACATTCATCTAACTCTTGACAATATATAAAAAAATAAATAAATATTTCAGCTTCCAAACACACACTGACATCAGAGGAGCATCATCATTCACTGACCACTGTGTCCACACTGCTGTTCTTCACCCTGGTATCCAGGTGGTGATGAGACATTTCTTCCTCCGACTCGATCTGCTGCACCAACCTCTTTGGCCGCGTGACCTCCGTTGGAGCGTCCTGGTTTTCTGACCACCCAGGTAGGGTGAACCAGTTCCACGTGTCTTCATCTTCCCGTGTGCTTCTGTCCGCACCTGCAAGAGAACAACAAGGACACTCAGCGTGAACCTGGAAAGGTAGAGGCATGGAGTACCTGAGGTGAAGGAATGAAATTGACAGTGTTTGAGATGAGAAAAGACAAGGCGACAACATAAGAATATTTTAAAAATATTTTATAGGCAATTAAAGTATTAGGGGTGCTTCGTGGGCTGGAAGTGGGCCCCAGGCCAGGAGTTTGGAACCCTTGTTGTAGAGTGAAGAATAAGGTTATGAATGACTTCACTCACTTTACCTACTACTGTATGACAACTTAGTTAGCCAAAGCCTAAACACACAGTCCATCCCTTCATCTGTAATGCTTTAACCTGAAGTCATTTTCAGGAAAAGCTGGAGCTAATCCTGAAAGTGCAAAAGATGAAGTCACCGAAACACCCATTCACACCTGCGGTAAGTTTACCTAATACTTAGTCTGCATATTTTTGAACTGCGAGTACCTGGTGAGAACACGTGCACACACAGAGGAAAGTGCAAACTTCACACAGAAACACCATCTGCTTCAGCCTGAACATGAACCAGTGACTTTGTAGCTGTGAGACAACAGTACTTACTGTACCACCTCAGTGCAGAGGGTTGGCCAGTCACGCATCACCTTCAACTACTTTCTCCTATAGAGCCTAAGTCTAAACACAATTAAATCCAATGTTGATGCTGTTCAGATGCTGTGTCTCTATATGTTTTTTTTTTAATGGACTGGAAATGTATCTAAGTTTAAGCCCAACGACAGGTGGGATCTCCTCTGCAACCTCTTATGTAATTTAAAGATGGATAAATGAGTACAGTGAGGATAAAACGTAGACTATGTGGTCATCAACTCTTTATTTCAATAACACCGCATATATTTTATTTTTAATCTGAGCTCTGTATCGCAATATAACACTCTAAACTTGAATTCTCTCATCATGGGGGTCGTTCTAGGGGGCGCAATATTTACATTTTTATTCTCATGACAAATAGCACGGAGCACTCTACTCAATGCACTTTGCAAACATTAAAATAAATAAACAAATATATAAATGTATCAGTTCTGTAAATAGCTTAGCACTGAAAGTGAATCACAAGGATATTTTAATTTCTGACACTGGGTCCAGTTTAATATAAATACAGTTTCATACAGTAAATATATGATCACTGTAGTCCCTGTTCTACCTCAGTCCAAACTGACAGTTTGAGTCAATGAGGGTGTGAATGATCACTGGTCACTGTGTGTGCCCCTACTGTACCATACACTGGGATAAGTCCAGGGTTTAGCCCCCCCTGGAGCCAAATGAGATAATTTATCGGCTCCAGCTACCACCATGACCCCCCACTGGGGTAAGGCCATATTATAGAAGAAGAATGAATGGATGAAACACACATAAAAGTGAAATAATTCAAACGAGTTTTCATTTAATGATGTGAATTTTGTGTCTTTTTTATTAGCCCAGTAACCACAAGGTTACAACAGTAACGCAGTACTTTAAGATATTTACAGCATAAGGATCAATAGTTATTCATGTATTTATTGAGGTTTTGATGAAAGACAGTGATGCCTACAGGAGACAGTCACCCTCCAGACATATAGGCTGCTGCTGCTGCTGCTGCTGGGCCTAATCTCTCTCAGACGTGACAGACCACGGCTGATTCCAGGGACTTGACAAGTTACATTAAAATGTTTTAGGTGTTGCTTCTCCAATATAAACGGGTGGAGGTGTAGGTGGATGTATGGGCAATGGGTTCGCCGTGGAAATGTGTTGATGCAGCAAATCTACCGCAGCGGTGAGCGCTTCCAGTCCAGAGGGGATGTTTGGCACCGAGAGCCCGCTACAATAAAAAAATCTGCAGCCCGCACTTGTTTTCAAAAAGTGCTGGTGCAAGGGGAAAAATGTGTGGATGTAAAGAAAACGGGGAGCCGCTGCTCTCCAGCCAAACCTCTACCCTCTGCTCCTTCTCTCTCCCTCCTGTCTCTTCTTACCTGAGACTGCAAGCCTCTCGCCCACTGCAGCAAAGACCATGAAGCACCACACCGCCAGCATGATCCTCACATATTCCCCCGGATCACAGCATCGAGAGAGCCGCGGAAAGAACGTCAACAACCCGGTTGATGCTGAGGAAGAGGGGAAACAACATAAAAAGGGCAAAAACCGACAGGAAACGATGGCGAGGATCCAAAGAATGTGCTTCTACACATCTGATGGTGATGCTGCGGGTCCTCTCTCTCCCCCTCTCTCTCTCTCTCACACACACACACTCTCAGCTACTACGGGAAGAACCTGATTTGCATTTCAGAATAAGGAAAAATGAACCAGAGCCTGCGCTTGAAGCGGAGATGATCGATACAGGCCTGTCGTGGTCTGAAAACAGGGAGCGCGCACCGCGGGCGCACGGCTCTGCAAGGCTGCGCCGGTGCGTGGAGTACAAATGGCTGAGCCGTGTGAGTGTGCGTGTAAGCCTGTGTGTTTTAGTGTGTGTGTAGCCCATATGTGAATCTGCGTTATGCGGAAACGCAGGGACGTGGAAAAAAAGAGAGATGCGTTAGGTCTGCGGTGAGAAAGAGGGGGGACATGGGAACCCAGTCTCCTCCTCCTCTTCCTCCTGCGGTTGCCATGCAGCTCTGAAAGGATGCAACAGTCTGGCCGAACGCTGCTGAAGTGAGTGACCCGTGAAAAGTCACAAATGCCCGCGAAACAGTACAGTTAAAGACGAACCTCCAAACCATATTTTCCAAAATAGAAAGTACACTTTCTTAAAATTCAGTGTGGAAAGGTACGGTCTAATCAACAAGACAGAAGTTTCACCAAAACTATAAACAGGTACACAACATTCACAACAATAAACCAGCAACTAACAGGTTAACCAGCAGCAGGTTCAAGACTTGATTGCATATAGACCACAGGTGTGGCCTACTGTATATGCAATCAAACAGGGATTCCCAAACTGTAGACCCACCACTAGGGGGTGCGCGGGAACTATTGACGGCGGTTTGTTTTCTTTAACACAATAAAGACGTGGAAATAAACATATCCTTTGTAAAATTAAAAGCTTGAATTTTAAATAATAAATTAATAAATGCTAACGGCTATATATATAACAGAAATATTTAACTTAGTTAGAACTACTAATTCTTTTTTTGGAGATTTATGAATTGAATTAATTTATTTTGTAAATTGAGCCCACATTTGTAAAGGCATCATGCCAAAAAAGAAAAGAAAAAGAGGAAGTGTTCATCAAACAGTTCACTCACTGCAGCCTTCACTGATGTGGTTCTTACTGCAGTTATTCAGCTGCATGTCACTGCTGAATACTTTATGAGCTGCATCAGTTACCACTGTGCATTTATGAGTTGTTGTTCAATGTATGAAAGATTAAAAAAAAATAATGAAAGAAAGAAAGAAATAGCCTACGGTATATGCTGCAGAGAGTATTACAATTTTTATTAAACTCTTTCATTTGTGATCTCCCTTTTAAGTTTGGCAATCGAGAAGGAAGAGGTAAAGGGAATGGGGGCATTTATATTCTACCATTCTGCCCTTGATCCTGCCCCTGCTGCCTTCTACACCATGTTGGTGTAGATGAAATATTCAGAGGGCACTGTCTGTGCACAATGTGCCTCTATTAGCGGGATGTGCGTAGTGGTTGTCGGAGGAGCTAACTGAATGAACCTGCAAGCCACAAGACTGAGGCAGGAACTCACACAGCTCTGAGGAACTCCACGTCCACTGATTGATGTGATTGGATTATGGGTATCAGCAAAGAAACAATTCATTATTTTCTACTTTACAGATACAAATCTAGCCCGTGCGTCATTAAATATCTGTCCTCAGACCTGGTTTAATGTAAGAATTTATAACATTTTCATAAAATAATAGTAATATTTTCTAAAGTATAATGGATTATTTTTGACCCTATACTTGCAGAAGGGTCTGTGTAATGCGCGCTGCTTGAGGCTTCAGAAAAAGAGAAATACTGCCCTCTAGTGGACAGATACCGGTACTGCAATAACTAAAATCCGCCCCTAATGCCTGAACTAGAACTCGAACCTGAAATAGACACAATTTTAAAGAAGTGTTACCTTAAACAGACAGCATCGAAATAAAATTCACTGCTTCTTAAGAGCAAACCTTATTGGGGCAAGTTTCACGTTTTTGTTTTCACAGCAACCTCAGTTTTACAATAATTAAATAAACTGGAATTATCAGTTCTAAAAATGGCCCTAAAAATTGTATGTTTTGCCACCTTATGGCCATGTTACATACATGCATGCAAGCGTAAAGTAATCGTAGACAGATACAAGTTGACAGGTACAAAAAGATACAAAAGGAATATATTTTTAGCCAATGTCACTTGAGGCTTCCTGCTGTCACTGAAGAGCTGATGCAACATGACATTGTCTTTAGCGCCAATTTCCATTCTAAATTTGTATTTTCAGAGTAGGGAAGCATCTTTGTGATGATTAGTCTAACTTTAAACTGTGTCAACTTCAACATTTCTTGTGTGTACGACTATAAATTACCTGTACGATACGTTGGAAAGCTTACATTTTGTTTGACCGTTTATCTATGTATCGCTGCTACTATAAGTGAGCTTTTAATATTTAATATTTTTAAGTGTGAAATGCATACAGTGTTGTATCCGTACTCCTGCTCACTTTGTACACAGCTGACGGCAGCAACATGATTACACCTCATCAGCTGCAGCCTTGCTGCTCAGTATTTTCCACTGTGCTGTATGAATGGCCACTGCAGGTGCAGCCTGTAGACCTGATGCGGCCAATTAAGTAATTATACCTTTTCAGGAGGTTATAAAACAGCGTGACAAAGGCGGCCGCATTTTCAATAGAACATTCGAGTGCAAACACAGCTATCGGACCAGATTATCGAATAAAAACATGAACGGTGTTGCCGCTGCTCCACCGCAGCGCTTCAAGTGCGCACACGGTGACTGTGGAGCAACATTCACCAAACAGAGGAAACTGGAGGAGCACGAGACTGTGCACACCGGAGAGGTGAGAATGGAACTTTATCACTTGAGGATATGCTTATTTTTAAATACTTGAAAATAATTTGACTACAACGACCCACAGCGTCCGTGTCAGTGCGCAGTGTCTGGCTGCGGCCGCCGCTTCACCAGACAGTCCCACCTGAGCAGACACATGCTGCAGCACAGAGAAGTCAAGCAGTTCAGGTAGGTCGTATACCAGTATGTTTGGTGTCGTGACACGTCACGTGACCATCACCAACGTCTAAGTCAAATAAAAGAGACGCAGTGGAGTGTAAATTGCTATAGTGGTTATTCTGGTGATCTCATAACTTAAACGAATTTAATATTTGTAAGTTGTACGAGTAATATATTAATATCATTTAAAATTAAACTCCTCAGATGTAAGTTTGCCACCTGCACGAAGAGCTTCTTCACTCTCAGCAAACTAAAGAGACACGCGGGGTTCGCCCACGCAGATAAAAACAAATACTTCAAGGTAGGTCTGACATGACCCACCAGATGGCGCCACTACAACACATCTCGATATTCTCTGGCCTCTTAATGGTTGAATTAATTTCCCTGATCTCGTGCTCGCTCACAGTGTAACCGGCCAAACTGCTCCTTAACCTTCAAGAAGCGAAGGCTGTTCAAGCTGCACTTGATGGATCATCAGGTTCCTGCTGTGTTCAAGTGCGTTTCTCCTACGCGAATAATTATGCAAAAATTATAGACTTGTTGGGCCAATACAATGCCTTATTGTTACGGTTGCATCATTTTGATGTTCTCAGTAAAATGCATGTGGAATTGTATGTTTGTTACTGATGGTGTCAGGTGTACGAAGGAAGGATGCACTGCCAAGTTACATTCCCACATCGCCCGCAAAGCCCACGAGAAGAAGCATGCAGGTTGGTCCATTTCATTCTTAGTGGGGGGGCCCTTTTATCTTGCGTCCATGATGAATTCCTTAATTAGAAACTGGGCTGTGGGTGCCCTCTGCTGTGACCTTTTTCCTTTCATGTGAGATCATACTGTCAGGAGAGACGATGATTTTACCTTATTTCCTGACGCCCTGTCCAACTGTGTCTGCCTCGTCCTGCAGGATACTGCTGCCCTCACGCCGACTGTCAGGTGATGGAACCAACCTGGGGGAAGTTGAAGAAGCACATGACCAAACACCTAGGTTCATATGATTTTTTTCATTTGATTACGTTGATTACCAACTATGTGAATGTCCTATTAGTAGATACACAATCCTGCTTTACGTTTTCCCAGCAAAGTTTACGTGCAAAGTCTGCAAGAAGGAGTTTAAGAAAGTGGATTCTCTGCGGAGGCACAAATGGATCCATGCGTCCCACAAGCCTGTGCTGGTCTGTCCCAAGAAGAACTGCCAGGCCTACTTCTCCACCACCTTCAACCTGCAGCACCACATTCGCAAGGTTCACCTGGAGCTCCTCAAGTACAAGTGCTCCTTCCCCGACTGCCCGCGCATGTTTGCCATGCGGGTACGTAGCATGTGGTTCTTTCTGAATCTTTCTGATAATTGGTTTTGACAACTAATAGGAGGTAGAAACGTCTTTTACTCCTCAGGAAAGCATGGACAGACATCTGCTTCATCACGACCCCAGTGCCACGGCCCTGAAGGTGAGTGACGTGCGTTCAACTGGCGGCAGAACGTCGAACTCCTCAACATTTTTCTTAACACCCAACAGAAACGTCAGCGTGCTAAGAAGCCATGGCAGAAGCGATTAAACGGAAACCAGCAGCCTCTGGTGGAGGAAAACCTGCGTCGCCTCTTCGCCCTGCGCATGCGCATCTCCAGGCGTGCCAAGGTGGAAACCAACCTGTCCAGCCTCTTCAACGAACGAAAGATCCCTCACTTTGTCGACTCAGAGGTCAATCTGCGTGATCTCTTCGGCATAAAGCAGCAGAGTCCTCTGGTGGTGAAACCTGAGGTTGCACCTGTAAATGGTTAATATATAAAGAATGATTCCTAAGTTAGACTTAATTTATAGATACTGAAAACTTGGGTCTTTGATTTGTTGTTGGATGTAGCTGACATACATTAAAATATTTTATTTGATAAGAAGTATCTGAAAGTCACATTGGAAAATTTATTTTTTGACCCAATAAACTTGAGTTTTGTTTTGGATCAGACTGGTGTTTTAATGCCATCATTTTCTAAGAATGTTTATATGTTCACTGTTGGATGTCGGTTACTCAGCAGCAGCAGAGACATCATATCCAGTAACAGGGTTTGTTTGGCCGGTCTCGTTTAATTGCCATTGAAAGCGTCTCATTGTGAGAACACTCCAGCAGCTGTTGGTCCGCAGCATCTCTCGTGCTCACTCTGGCCAAAATGAGGGGCTGACATTTGCTGAACATGTTGGAGTTCATTAAATATGAACAAAAGGCCTGAAGATGAGTAAGCGCTGAGTCACAGGATGCATCGCTTTGAGGGTGGATGGAAACTTTTGAACACGAGTCCCAGCTGTCAGGTCTGATCAAGTGAGGGTGAACTGTTGCACTTTGAATGACTGGTCGGAGAATAGTTGAATTATTGACAGGAACTACAAACGCAGACTAAACTGTCTTAGGTCAAGGGGGAGCGATGATGTGAATTTCAGAAAAGTATTCCATCACTGATTACAGCAATGGTTTTTAGAAGTCTGTTTGAATTTTTATTTTTTTATTTTATAAAAACTGAGCTTAAGGCTTAATGCAGGGTCAAGAAAAATGTATCAAGATAGTTAATTTAGCTGTGCTGTATAATTAGCCAAAAATATAGGCAATATGGAAGCAAAAGGGCTAGAAGCTAGCTATTTTAGTCAAAGATGCCTAAGGAAAAGCAGGGCATTATTACTCCATAGCTAACAGATTTGGTTAAAGTAAAATTTCTTACGCTGCTCTTACATCAGAATCAATATAGGTTAACATTGGATGAAAAAGATCTGAATCATTTTTCTATTTTAAAGTCCAATTTGTTTAAATAAATCTAAAATGAATGATATATCAATAAAATTACACATAAAAGTTTCTATTGGTTATAGTAGTAAAAATCGCAATATTTGCACCAGGCGTTTGTTTGAGACATTTCCTTTTGGTGTTAAGCACTTGGTCTTATTCTTCCTGGTCCAGTGAAGCGAGGCAGAGTCCATTTCAAAGCCTGCTCTGAGCTGAGTATCAGCCTGTCAGCATGGGCTCCGATGATTCCTGCACTGCTGTGTCTTTCCTCTGCCTCAGGTCATTCTCTCAGCTTCGCAGCCTCCCAGCTTCCTCCTCCTCCTCTTCTTCTTCCTCCTCCTCCTCCTTCTCCACTGTCTGCAGCTTCTTCTGTTCAGGTGACATACATTAACCTCTCTCCCAGCACCTCACACACACATCACAGGCCAGTGCAGGTCAGCACATCACTGACCTCTGCTTCTGTCAAACTGTTCTCAGTTTTTCTGTTGAGAATATATTTTACAATGTATTTATACCTGTATTGTCTTCACCTCCATAATGTTAGTCTTTGAATTACTTTTAGGAAGAACATTTTTAAACTTGTTTGAATCAATAACTTTATACTCTAACTGTAACTGTAAGTGTACTAGCTATTTATGGCTGACATTTAATTTGTATGCTGCCGCGCTTTTTTTAATTTAATTTTGTTCTAAATTCGTCTTAATCAGTTAATACTCAAATCATATTATTTTTGCCAATTTCTGCTCCTGTGGTTTAGGTATGCCAAATACACATTTTAAATGTTTATTTTTGGCAAAATGTACTTATTTCTTTGGCTTAGCATTTTATCTTTGGCAATATATCACTAGTTTTTATGTAACATTGATCTATTTCATATTTGTTTTGCTCAATTTCATCAGCATTGGAAGTCATTTCCTGGCACACAACAATCACGTTGCTGTGGAGTTTTACTAGCATCACTTACACAGCTGATTATTTTGTTTACACATGACAGTAAAATAACAAGGCCCGGGAGTTCACACACTTCAGAGCAGCGCAGTTACTCAGATGTGAGCTACAATCACAGCAAACAACTTTTTTTTCCTCACGTCTTTGTCCTGTTCATCATCTGTAAAAACTAGAGGGACGGAGTTCGCAGGTGTGGAGCAGGGGTCCTTGTTAACTTAGTGTTAGAGTTAGTGTTTGTACACTCCTGGTGCCACAAAGCCCCATGGGAGTGAAGACGCTGCCTGGCTCCGTAGTGTATGAGGTGTAAAATAATACCAGCGACACCATCAAAAGCAAAAACCCAGGGGCTGGTTAATCACACCTTCACCTTCCTGGGAAGGTGGTGCCAATTATCCACAGAGCGAGTGTTACCTCTAACATGGAGAATGATTTGTGTATCCTGTTAGGCACAGACAAAAAAAAAAATCATGTTCCCAACAATGGCCATTATACAGGTTCTTCATTTAAAAGTCATGCTTTGAATCCTCTATTCCACACCGACTTCAGTTCATTAAAATAATGCATTCACTGATGTTCATTACAAAGCCGACTTCAGTCTCTGCCCGCAGCTTTTCAGTATTTCATGCAATCAGTAAAGCCTGTAAATGGGAGTTTAAACACCTAGGGTCAACCATCCAGAGTAATGGACATTACACAAAAGAGGTGAAGAAAAGGCAGCGTGGAATGGATGGAGATGAGTGTCATGGGTAATTAAATTGAAGATTAAGGTTTATGAGACAGTAGTGAGACCTGCTATGATGTATGGTTAAGAGACCGTGACTGTCTAACAGACTAAAGGCTGAGCTGGAGGAGGCAGAGATTGAGTTTGGAGATGAAGTTGGATAGTAAATATATTTGATTGAAGGATATTTGAAGGATGTTAGAGATGGAGGAGAAGAAGAAGGCCGCAGATCGGATGTTGAAAACATCAAAACAAATTGTTTTAGTTGGTAATTACTGGCAATCTGCAATTATTTATTTTCTTGTCTTTTAAACTGTTTTAACTAATATAAAGCAAACCAAACGTTGGGGGGTGGCAGCTGTGTCAGCAAATTACACAGTCTTAAATTATCTTAATGTTACTAGGTTTATTCTTGCAACATTATGATAATACAATCCTACCATTATGAGAAAAAAAGCCATAAATGTATGTAAATTAGGCAGTAATAAAAAAGTTACAAAAAAAGAAATATGTTTATATCATTTCTTTCAGGGGAGAAATGAAGAAGAGTCAAACTAAATTTATTATGCATACTTTTCACTCTCACATTTCTGCTACAGTATATTTAAATGACTGATTATCTTTGGCCTATTTTTCACATTTCAGTAATTTATTGCTAAGAGAAATCATGTCACGTCAGAATTTTGACTATCAATGTTGTACACAGCCTAAGTTGTACTACTATCAATTATAACCATCATAACTGCAACTCTGACAGTTTTCTCCTTTTAGCAGTTAGGGCATATTTCCCAGTCTGAGAAGAAGAAAAACACTGCCATAGAAAATAAAGTGAAGTAGGTTAACGATACAGTCGTCATGGCCTGATTTAGCTGCTTCCTCCTCCAGAATAGATGACCCCGAACCTTCTCTCTCCTCCCTTACTCCATTTCCCATGCCCCTGTTGAAAGACGACCAACTGTAGCAACACAAGCTTACTGACAGAATTAACCAAACAACCACCAGGCAGGGAGTTGTCTGCAGACTCAGCTCGTCTGCTTGCTTCAGTAAATCACATTTGCGTCTGTGCAGAAAAGTGTTGAATAAAAACAGAGGTTGAAACAAATGTATTATTTCAGATATATCAGAGGACACATGGTTATCTGGTTATCACTTCCTTGTTCCAGTGACCGTCAGAGAATATGATTACAGTGTAAACAGATCACTAAATCAGTATGACTTATTTATATGTCCATTATTAAACACTTACATTACAATATAGTACAAGTTCATACATTTAGAAAACGTATGGTCTTGTTCTAAATGGTGTAATGATTGTAGTTGCAGCTTTGGGCCACTGAAGCCTCACAAAGACCTACAATAGATGTATAGTATAAGGCCACCTTTATTTGACCAGTGAAATGAATTCTCTTATGTCGACATCAGGTACATCCTTCTCAGTGTGTTATTCTATAATTACGTCCGAGAGATAAAGATGAGTTTTCTGTTTGAATGAGAAGATGAGTTCTCCTTGTGTTGACTATGATACAGACCAGATCACACTGTCCTCACACACTCACAGAGTAAAACAGTTAGAAAGTAATATATAGATAAATTAATTATTATTAATGACTCTAGACTCACACTTGAAATATGCTTTAGGAGTATTTATCACACTAACAGAATCACTGCTTCAAATTCTGTTGGTAACTGAAAGTATTTCTGTATCAGTTTTGCAAAAATGCTCCACTGTTGAGCAAAACTGTTTTCCTTCCTGGTTGTATGCTATAAAAATTATGATTACATAATTATTTATTAAAAAAGAACACATTAAACTGCCAAGATTGGCTCCTGGACCAGACTTGTCGTGGCTGATTTAGGTTTGAGAAAAGATAAACTAGTGCAGCAGTGAGCAGGACACAGAATGTCATTTTAAAGGCACAGATTGATAACATTTGCTGTAACATTGTTTGACATTGTGCTTGGAGCTGTTTTCCCAAGTCTCCATCATTAAATCAAGTCTTGTGAATCAAACTACAGTTTTATTGCTTTACGTCCCATCTATTCTCATTTTCTATGCAAAATATTCACTTTCTTAAGTTCCCTAAGCCGTTCTCTTTCCGCCTTTGTAATTTGTAGCCTTTACTGTCCTCACAAAGGACTGTGCAAACGCGAATCTGCATGGATGAGGGCACAACAAGGTGACCATGCTTCTGTGGCTCAGGCACAGACCGCAGCATTGGTTATTCATCTCTTCCGTGTGACAAATCACTTTGTGTTTTGGACTGCGTCGTTGTGCAGATAATACACAGCAGTAGGCTGCAGGTTACGCTGCTCGACAGAACCAGATTAAAGCCTTCAGACAGAACTGCACTGAGTCATTTGCCCACAGGTTGGCATTAGATGGATGCTGCAAGTAAAACAACCCATATTGTTCTTTGAATGTGTCGAGCATTTGCATAATGCAGTCATCAACACAGCCTAGTCTGTAAAATGAGAGATGAGTGTGATTCATGTGGTAGAGTTTCACAGTCTTTTGTCTTCAGATCAGATGTGATTCTTTTTCACCAAGTCACCAAGATAAGCTCCGATTATCGCAGATGACATTTAAGGTTGATTACACTTCCTTTTGTTGACATCCACATGGCAACATCCATCATTGTCCATATCTTCATGTTCTCTGCATTTGCTCGCTCATTAATCAAAACACAGTTTCCTTGCGAGCTCCCCGTGCGGTGTGTCAAGCTCCATTAGTAATTAAAAGTGTTGCAATCAGGAAATGCGCCAGCTACCTCGTTTTACAGCTTCAAAATTAGCAGCCAAAGTTTGGGTCCATTAGAGCCATTCATCAAAGATAAGTCAGACCTTAAACCAAACAGATTCAGAACAGGACTGTTTTTGTTCCATTCTAGATTCGTATCAGTCACAGATTGATCGTGTTTACACTGACAGCAGTTTGATTCATCACTTGATTATAGTTTAATTAAGACCAAACCAGTGTGTACTGACTTCTCCACTAAAAGCAATAACGGTACAAAAGTTGGTCAACCTTTAAACTCAAACGTAATGTTATACAAAGCTGTCTGTTCATTAGTGTTACACATCCATCAATCCATCTACGTGCTTCATGCAAAGATGTAGCTGATTTACATCAGGAAGATTACGTACAGCAAATAAAAAAAAAAAAGTTTTTAGTTTTAATAAATCTGGGCAATTTTCTACTGTCACTGATTGGGAACCACTGCACTACACTAATGTTGGAGACTGGAGGATTGAAATATAGTAAAGTGAAAGTGCTTTACGTGGGATAACATTATTATATTCTTGTGTTATAGCATGTGTTATAGCATGTGTGTGAAAGTGAACATTTCATCAAGGTTGTATTCCGACCAAGGTCACTCTTCAGATTGTTGGTGTTCATGCGCGTCTGTGTTTTTTTTTCCTGGCTTCTGCATCACCTTGTGATAAAATCCACAAATTGATTTGATCCTGCTGTTCAGTGATTGTAAAGTAAAATGAAGTGAGAGCAGCGGGGGAGGCAGTGTTCCACTTACAGCCATGTAATCCACAACAATAGGTTCACATGAGCTCATAATGACAGGAATGGAGGCAACAGCGAACAGCAGGCTGACAGAAGTCTGCGTTCTATGCTCTGATGCTGTCAAATGGAAAATTAATTATGTAGATTAAGCGTATGCTGAGTCCAAAACATAATGTAACTAAAAAAAAGTATAGAATGCCTGAGAAATCTCCTTTCTGTCTATCTGTTCTATAATAATATTGTATCAGGACTTTTTCCGTTTTAATAGGGAATGAAGGAATGCAGACGGGAATGTTTGAAGAATGCTGATTTCCATCGCATAAGTACAAAAGCTCACATAATCATCAAACTTTTCTGTTGACATTTTGTAAAGTACACACATTCCGCCCAGATCTTAACTCTATGAAATGTCTAGCAAGAAAGAGGGGATTGCAGATGATTCTGGTGCAGATGCTAAGATGGATAGGCTCAGCCTACACAGGCTCTTCACATTCACTGCACAGACTGACATCAGTCTCCTTATCTAGCAATAAATCCTTTGGGGTTTCATTTGACCGCAAGGGAGTAGCTGACTACACCAGGCTGTGAATGTATATGCCTGTCATGTATGTGCCCCACAACAAGAACATAGCAAGAGGTACATGTCACATCTGTTTTTTACTAAGCCAGTATGAGATTCATTTTATATTACGCCCTGAAGATGACATTTTTAGAATATTTGACTGAATACAGGTTTTATAACTCGGGCTGCCAAATTAAAACATCATAAATCAGATACAAATTTAGTAGAGAATTTCCACCGTCCATCCTCTTCTAGATCTAATACAGTCACTACACATGTTGTCATTTGCACACACTGCAGGGAATTTTGTTTTTTTTACCAAAATACCTCAAGGTTCAAATATCATCATAACAAACAGCATAAAAAAATAGAAGATGCAAGAAGTCACTCAGAGGGTGGGACTATCTGGTACCCCAGCTGCCTCCATGTCCCTAAAAAGGATTGGGCAATAGAGGATGTACAGCTGAATGGATGGATGGACCAATAATTTAGAAGTTAATTTTGTTTCACTGTTGTTGGTCCTCTTAATGGGACTGTTATTGAGCAAATTACTGGCATCATAAACTCATGTTCACTGCTCATGTTTGAAGCCATGTTATTCTAAGTAAGTCTTGGTTATGACAGAAACAAAAACAAAAAAAAAACAAAAAAAAAAACACATTTTTTGAATGTGTCATGCCAGGCTGAAGCCAGCAAAACTATGTTATTTTTGGAAATACAGTATAAAAAATATATAACATTCAGATGGAACTAAACTGATCGATTTACATTTGGATTTTAAAGTGATTTTATAGAGGTATATGCTGTAGGGACTAATGGTAGAAAATGAATGCACTTCATGTCAATTATACAAAGGCATTTTAACTTGTGTGTGTTCACGTGTGTAAGTGTGTGTGTGTACAAGAAGAGAGCAGGACGCTAGACTCTGAGTACGTGAGTGGTTTTTCATTCTCTTTACCAGCCTCTCACAGTTTTACTTCATCTGCTGAGCGAAGTAAAGGTCAGCCGTGTAGACAGCAGGATGATGCAAATTTCAATGTGTGTGTGTGTAAGTTGTGCTGCTGCAGCAGCCTTGCCTCACCACCAGCAGTGTCTGTGGCTGAAACCTCTGTGAGTAACAAAGGATCAACAGGAAAGCAAACCAGGGCTGAAGCTCATGTTTCATTAATAAAGTGTATTGTACTGTGTATGTGTGTGTGTTTGTGTGTAATGTGCGTGTGTGTATGTGTGTACAGAAGGATACAAATTCACAGTTCCCCCTCATTAAAGGTAGAATGTGTTATACAAATGTAGGGTAATCACTGACCTACACTAATGCCGCCTCATCAATGTTAATGTAACACTAATCTGTGCTGATGAGGCGATCGACACGCCGTACAAACAAAGACGACAGCCCCCATACTGAAACAACACACCAAATAAGACTGATGAGTAACGCCTGTTAGAAGCATCAGTCATTATTACTCACTAAGCACATAACCACAGTCACACTGACATTATCGGCTACTAAATTCCACAGTGTGAAGGTGAGGCTGTCAGGGCGTCTGCCTGTCCCTCCGTCCACTTCTGTCCCTGTCAGTGATAACCCCCTCGGTGTCATTTGGATCACAAACTCACTGACTTCACAGGTCACCTGTCTGTCTGTTTGTGTCCTGACTGTCTACAAGTTGGCACACAACTGTCACAACCTCTAAGACGTGTCAGTCTCTCCATCCGCTGGAAAAAGAAAATCCCTTTCAGCTTGTCCCATCATCAGGGGTCACCAGAGCTGCAGTCTGCATAGTGATTTGGCAGCCCATCCTGATGCAACCCAATCCCGGAACAGGGACTGCACGTCATACAGGAATCCTACCACTCTGCCTTCATCAATATTTATACAAATCCTATCATGACCCTCACTGTATCATTCTCTGCAAAAAAATCAAAATGTGAAAATTTGAAAACACAAACCATTTTACTGCTCTCCTTTTAATGAGCAAAAGTATGTTTTTCCCCCAAGGTAGTGACTACAGGAGAATACATAGTAAATATTAGGAATGTGAAACGACGATACAAATTTTTAATCTGCTTATTTAAAGAATAGCTGTGATAAATTGCGATCCAAATTAATCGTGAGTAATCTGTCAACCTAAATGAATCAAAATTCCAAAGTATGACTAAGACTAAGCTTTTTTCTGTATATTGCTGGAACAGAAAGATAACTAACAGCAGGTAGATGTATGGGTTTCACACTTGTTTTTATTTGTGACTATTCCAGAAAATTTGATATTTTCTTCTTTTATTCCGACGGCATCTAAATATAGCTCTACATGTCCCACTGCACTGCACCATCATAAAGACAACAAACACATTCTATTTCATTTTTTATGCTTCCGGCTGCTGTGTCTGATTCCATGTGTGATTCACCAAGACTGTGTCTCTCTTTTTCTAACGTTAATATCGCCTTTATGCATTTACGTACATCACTGAGCTTAACAACAGCATGTCTAAGCTATAGTATGAGCCAAAGTCAAACTGACATCATGCACGTCCCCTGCGACCTTGTCCATCAACACATCAAACACAGCAGAGTTTAGGTCTGATATGGCCACATCCTAACTGTGAAGTTGTCTGTTTCTCTACCTGTAAATCTCATCAAAGTCATCAAAGTATCATCATATACACGTTTGCCACTCCTAATGTCATCATGTGATACAACAATAACTGTTGCACTATACAAGATATTCCTTCACAAATACAGAAGAATGCTGCTACTTTTGTCGATGTATCTTTTCCTTGCTGCAGCTTTGCTCTTAGTTCCAAACGATCGAGCCACCTTCCTCTTTACAACAGTTTTGTTTTGACATGACTTACAATTAATTATATGGTATGACGGCTCAGTATGAATAAGGCACATAGAAAAAAACATGAGGAGTCGAAGAGTGGCTGCAATTGAAATGTTCTATTAATAACACTCTATTTTTGCTGGCTACTGTGACTCAGCCTTGGCAATAATGCAGACTTTCTAAACTAACAAACACAACATGAGGAGCTGTCAGTGGAGCAATTAGAGACTTAAAATGCTGCTAGTTAAGAAAACGGTGTTCCACATCAGGCTGTATCAAGTCAAGCCCATACTTCCTGCCCCTAAAAGAAACCCCAAGACTTGTGTACTTGTATGTAGAGCATCCATACCATAATTTCAGAAGCCCCAGGTTTTCATAGTCTTATGACTTTTCCAAGGTACCTCCAAGCAAGTTACACAGAAAAGTGCCTCTACTGCTGTCTGTGCTGGTCCAGGTGAATATGAGGCCATAGCTTGTGGACAAATCATCTGATACTGTACTGAATATTTGTTCTTGAGATTTTTATGTTTGTATTGACAGTAACACGTGCTTTTTATGTTTTAACATAAATATAAATTGCTTGTGATGACATTTTTTTTCTCTTTGTATTGGTCTGCACACAACTATAGGGGCTAGAGTGGTGCAGGACCCCCGGCTCTCAGCTTCAATACCAAATAGTCCAATAGCCTCAATAGCCTCTGTTCCATCACACACTGATTTTCCGCAGTCTTTCCTTTACATCTAATAAACCGAAGTAAGTGCTTGATAAGTGGGTGTATTTTTCTGAAAAGATTAAATCCATTGGCAAATGGCAAAATATTTTTTCTCCCACAAATCATGCTTGTAACAAAATGATGATCAAACCTTTAAAAATCTAAAATGTATCCTATTAATCCTGTGCAAAACACATTCTTTTAAGCACAGCTTATCTTACATCATCAATCAACAGCTCAGATAATACATATTGTACATGTGTTAACACAAACACAGTGGAGGTGATCATTATAGGAAACCAAATGACAACAGAAAATCTGTCAGGGAAAAACCCATCACAAAAATCGAGTTGATTAAATAAATGGCCAAGCGAGGAAGAGCACAGGTTGATGCACAAAAAACCCAGACACACATGTTGTTTTGACACTGATTTGTGCTAACAAAATGACTTAAGCCCCAAGTACAACGTGTCATTCATTTTTTCAACTTCACCAACAGAGGAAGCAATGCAAAAACCTGGTACGACACAGAAATAAACGCAATAACCAGAGGAGCAGAGACCAAGAGCCATTAGTATTTCCCTCACATTTACAGTGTTTACAGATGGAACAGTGGTGGGTGGTGGATTAATTACCTCTCTTCTTTTACGTCTCTGCTTTTCCAGCCCACACCTCTTTCTGTATCTTTATCACAAGAGGAAAGCCAAATGCCATCAAACAGTGACAGGTCAACAGTGGGCATAAATGTGCAGCACTTCTGGAAGGAAATGCAGGGCAATTTAAGCTACTAGCATTCTCGTTTGTAGGGTGTAATGGAGAATAATAATAGATAATTGTTCAAATATAAAGATGTCCTCTTATTTTCAGGAAAAAAAGCAATAATAGTTTTTTTTTGTTGTACTACTAGATGTTTTTAGTGTTATTGTTTATCTCGGGTCCCATTTACACTAAACAGTTAGGTGTAAGTTTATGTTGATTTCCTTACCTGGGAAATCCTCTGTGTTCCAAAGTGTTTCCATTATGAAGAGCCCACAGGAGCTGGTCAAGCTACACACAGGAAACTTCACTGGGTCTTCTATGGATCTGGCTTTAGATGAATTCACTCACTTATTTACTCAACAAACAAACAAACAAACAAACAGTCTTTACTTATTGTAGAGCAACAACAACAATTCAATTTCATTAAAATAAAATTACTATAAAAACGTCTTACACTTAATGTTGTCTTAACTTGTAAACAGACATAATTTCCTCATTAAAATAAAAATTTTAACTGTATTTATACATGGTTTTCCACGCATTTTATCATAACATAAGACCTTTTTTATATATATAAGTAACACTGTAACATCTTTTTAACAGTTAAATCATATATTATTTTAACATTTCATGTACGGCTTCCAAAATCCACCGAGTGGTTTTAACTGTTTTTCCTAATGCTATGATGCTAACGTCACTAATTTTGTACCCCCCCCCCCCCCCCCCCCTAAAAATTTAACACTTACCGGAGTTTCCACGATAAGTGTCCAATTATCCAACTCCGTCGATGTACGAGGATGAACTCGATAACACCATACTTCACTGAAACTACTTTTGTACACTTAATACTCTCATTTCCTGACAATTTGCTCTGAATTTTTATGTTATGTTTACGTTCCCGCGGTTCACTGCCCCGTTTACGTAGGGTTGAACCTGACGTTTCTACAGGTGCCGAGAGGTGTCAAAGCAAAATCGCGAGGGGTTTATTTTTTTAATCTTTTTATCTTTATTTTATTTATTTATTTATTGCAAAAGATAGAAGAGCAATATGAGGAAAACATAATGCATCATTGTTAAGTAGAATATGGCAGGTTGAAAGATGGCGATGCAAGGAGTAGATGTTTGTAATTAAAGAGGTAACTGTAAAGCAGTAGTGACAAATTATTTGTCTCTATATGTGTATATATATATAAATATATACATATATGAATATTTATACATATATTGAGCCTCTCAAAAATAAGAAAAAAATAAAATAAAAAAGCCTATCACCTGTATGGTATGTGACATTTGTCATTAGTTATACAAATGTTAGTAATACTAAAAGATGAAAAGATTAATTGAAACACAGAATGGCAACAATTGACTTATTTAAACTTCTGAATTTTAGAATCCCTCATTGTACCAAACTTTAAAGTAAACAGAATATTCTATTAAGTATCTTTCTGACGTGAGTATTATAAGACAGAAAGAAAAAAACATATATAGTTACATAAACCATGAAGGCACGGACGGGATTTGAACCCGTGATTTTCAGTTTACGAGACTGACGCCTTACCACTTGGCCACCGCGCCATGCTTATGCTCAGCAATCGTAGCCAATTGGTGGAAACGTGCCGACCATGTAGGGCCAATATAAAAGTAGATTGACTGATGTTGAAATATTTCAACACTGCTTCACCTAAACACATTGACTTTGAACTACTGTCCAGACCAAGCAACCCTGGATGACTCCTTTAAGTTGAAGTCATTAGAATATGGGGTAAAAATAAAGATTTAACCCAGGTAGATCATTGTCACTTTAGAAGTACCAACTGAAAAATCTTTAAAGATGTTCTGGGAAATATCACATTAATATATTCTATACATATGTAATATATATATTTCTTTTTCTGAAACAGATCTGGTCTTACAGAGGAATCAGTGTCCAGGTACCTGTGATAGAGGGGATTTCGGTGATCTATGATTTTTCTTTTCTATTCAGTCCATTTCTGAGAGGGATATGTAATAGAAAAGGCAATCCTTCAGACATGAAATGAACACTGAAAGACTGAAAAGTCAGTGCAAAAAAGTTTCAGAACTCCAAAAATGAAATGAGGGGACTACAAGAGACAGAGAACAGTCTTCAACAATGCTCTCCACAGCTGGCAAAGTTTCATTCACACAAAAGATCCCAGTGTGCACGGAGTCACAGCAGACAGACATCACTGTCAAGTGTTAATGTAGGTTTGCAGCAGCTGCTGTTGTCGGTGACACTGAGCTGCCTCCTCGACCAATCCTCAAATCAAGATTCTGGCTTTAGTTTATTAAAGTAAACAAAAACAAACTGCTGAGATGAACGTGAAGGCCAAAGTAAAAACGTGTTGCCTTGAGGTTGAAATGCTACTTCAAAAATGTACCAAAAGAAGCAAACTTAATTATCATCCATTTATACATGACTGAATCCTATTACAGTTTTACAGTGATTAGGAAATCTGTGAAATAGTTTTGATCACTTCCACTGCAGCCACTTTCTTGCATCTGCTCTCACCATGACTCAGACTGTGTCACACATTCTGGCAGAAACTGAGATTTTGTAAAAGAGGCAGTCACTCATTTTCATGCCCTGGTCAGTTCATTGTTGTGATTCTCCTAATGTTGTGCGTGTGCTGGTGAAAAACCATAAATTAGAGTCTGTGGATGAATCTCAAGATCACTTACTTAATAATGTTTCAATGTAGCATGAAATGTGTATACATTTATATGTGGCATTACATTTCTATAACATTGAAAGGTATTTGCTTAAGCAAATCTATTCCAGTCTAATCCATGGGCTTTACATACTGTTGTAAAAACTATGAAGATTATTTTAATTAATTACATGGTTTCTTTATTTCTTAAAAACATAATTTCTTAGGAATATTAACTGCGACTAAGAGAAGAGTTTTACAGCCCTCCGGAAACCACACACATTAGCATCATTAGCAGAAGCCGAGAGGCTACAGATCTTTCCTGGAGTGGAATGGAAATTAGATTAGCTGCTTGTGTGCATGAGATTGAAAAAACATCATCCAGTGACTTTATTTACATGAAAAACATTGGTCTAAAAAACTGTTTTTCAGCCTTCAAATGGAAAACTCTTCAGTGAAAATAGCCTTTTTAATATTGAATATAAAATGGACAGATGTATTCGGTAATAGTTATCCGTGACGATCAAGTCAATGAACATTAAAATATACAGCTATTACCTGCCATTTGCTTCGTTTGATTTGATAGTTGTACTTTATGGTAAATAAACATCCGTATATTTTTTATTTACCCGGCTGAGTGCGATGAACCAAAAAGTCCTAAACTACTCCCCCTTAAGTACATGCTTTTTATACTGCGGCTGTGATTAGACTGTCATTTTGTGCACAGCAGTGTATTTTTTTAGATGGTGTGTTATGCATGGACACCACTGTTCCTGCCATTAAATTGTGTGTTATTACAGGGTGCTCCCTGCCATCTCCCGACCCTGTGTAATTGCAACTGCGAAAAAAGAAAATAAATAAAGACACAAAAATCATGAACTGCATTCTGTGTACACGTCATGTGACCTGCTGCACATTAAGATGCTACACAGTGTTTCATAAAGGTTTTTTTATTGAGGAATCCTGAGCCTCTGGAAACATACAAACACAGTTGACATGTTAAAACCTTAAAAGAGTGAACATCCTATGCTACATGAAACTAAAGTACGAGTACAAGATAAACAAACATTACTGTCACATACAGTATGTAATATTATAAATCCAGTTCCGCTTGAAAGCCCAGATATTTTTCTAGATAAGTTGTGATTCTGTACATCCCCATTGCTTTAAAACCGTAGAACCCTGAAATCAAACAGACTCATGATGTTTCTGATGGTGAAGTGCACATGAGATATGGCTGAAAATGACACTTGTATTTTTATATACATTAAATTAAACTGTAACAGAGTAATCAAGTATTTCAAAATTATAAATTTCTTTCTCTCGGAAAAAAAGACCCCTTTTTCTAGGGCAAAATGAGGATGATAATGATAGAAGAAATGTTAGAAAAATGTTAGAAGAAGTACATTTGGTTTATTAAGCCTTTAAATTTAAAGAAATATATTTCAGTTTTCAGCTTTTTAATAGCCTGGTTGTGGAAATGTATTGCCCATGACTCCCATAAGTCTTCTCAGGGTGATAGATGCCAAAATATCATCTAAAGCATGGGTGAACAGGGAACTCCTCCGAGTTCGAGGATCATTTGATACTGAGTGCACAAAAAGGAAAATGTTTTCTTTAACCCCTTAGTCTGGATCAGGGGTAGACAAACTATGGCTCGGGGGCCGAATGGGCCCGTTTGGCTTTTTAATCCGGCCAGTCAAACTTGTAAAAATACGTTATTAATTTATATCATCATTATACTTCTGTATACTTCTATATTTATCACTGCATTGCCTGCATTCCCCCAATAGATGGCGTAGAAAAGACTAAAAGCCTGGTATTTTATTTTGAGAAATGATCACTTCCGTCCACTCATCTTTTCAATTGCCCGACTCAGTCTTTTTTATGACACCATCATTTTCTTTGACTAGCCAAATGACAAAACAAATTGGGTCCGAGAACCTGGGTCATGGTCAACCCCGATTTTATCTCTACTGGCTCCACCATGAGGCGATACTTCATATCATTGGATTAAACTCCATAATTACCTTATGTCAAACTTGATTGTTTTAAGGACAGTGAACACTATGATGGAAGTGACAGGCTGATGTTTGATTAACAGTGACTTGTGAGCCCATGGGTACAACACTATCTGCACACACACATCATACACTGAATCCTACCTATTTAGCACTGCAGTGTTCCATGGAAATAAAGCCACACATACATATACATTGGCTGCACCAATCACTCAATATATGTTCACATACAAGTAACCTGTTTTGAAGTATAATATATTTTTTTATACATGTAAATGGTTTTAAGCTGCAGGAGAGGAAGTAATAAAATGGAGATCTCACTTTTAAAATGCAAGTGCTCGTTCATTAGTAAACATATGGCTTGACTTTTCTATTGAAAATGTTCTGCCTGTTCTATACACACACCTGATCTCTGCGACAATGACAGAGGGCCAGAAATCCTTGGGTATTTCCAGACTAACGGTTTATAAAATCACAACAAAAGCTGTGGCTTTATCTCCATGAAATGCTGTCATTATCTTATCTGCTGTTATCTAACGCTTTGCTGCCTTTTCAGCACTGGCTGCTGTCTGAAGAAGAGCAAGAGGAAAAAGCAGGAGAGCGGTGGAGGTGGAGGGCTGTGACAGATCTCTCCGAGTGTCAATAACAACGCAACAAAGATTGAACTTCTGACCGGCCTGACTGTGTTCGGGTTTAAAAGAGGACGTACAGATGTAAAAACCTTACAGAAACAGAGTTGTAGACAGAACACTCACTATTAGATTTAATTTATTCATCTCTTTAAAACTCCATGTCTTTATTTTTTTCCGAAAAACTGGATCAAAATATATATAATTTTTAATTCTCCACAATACATGGAAAGAAAGAGTTTAATGGGGGTAACATATTTTTCTACCCCATATTTTCAACGCAGTCTTGAAGTCCTGAAAACAATCCTCACAGCGACTAGTTTTTCTCGATCCCAGTTCTGCCCTCAGAAGTTGGCAAACGCACTTCGAAATCAGACTGGCGCCTCAGAAGTTTTTCGTTTGCACTTGCTTGACTTCTTTCATCTCACTCTTCTGTGAGTCTCGGCTCTTGGTCTGGCAGGCAGCAGTTGTTTGAGGCCAGTGTTGTGTCGTACGTACCACTGGAGTTCACATGGAGCTGTCTCCCAGTCTCCGAGGGACATGAGCACACAGCCATGAGACTTAGGGAGTGAGTACAAACAATAAGTGGCTACTGACAGAAACGGGGGATGACAGAGAACACAGCTACTGTCCTCCTTTAGTCAGTAGAAACTTGGGCTGTGTTCTGAAAGTCAGTTCTTCCGGTTGAAGATACATTTACAGCAGATCAACTCGAAAAAACCTATAAATAGACAAGAACGGTTAATGTTATTCGAGACAACAGTTCCTACAGTAGATCTCAGCAGAGCTGGTCACTTTCTCTCTGTCTTTCTTGGTGGTCGGGCCGGGTCTGTCGTGTCAAAGTGAGAGTGGACGAGGCAAGAAAACGGGTGGATGTGGTAAAGTTTTAAAGATGGCTGCACCTCTAGGGGAGGTAGAGTAGATGTTGAAAAAGGGCTCAGATTTCTTCTATGGAGTCAGCCGGGACCAGTCCTCTCTTCTTCCCGCTGCTCAGTTTCAAGAACATCTCTCCATCTTCTTGTTTCCCAACACAGATCTGAATGGATGAGGCACAGTCAGCGTTGGGATTTAGGCGAAATGTTAAGATCACTTCAAGAGAATTGCCTGAAGCAGACCTGACTACATTTTCAGAAAATGATGCAACTGGATGCCGACATCTTTGTTTGAATGTCTTAATGTCAGAGAACAAATTCAAGACACGATAAGATTCTTGTACCTGAGATTCCCTGACGGCCATGTGTCCTCTCTCCCTGCTGCCAGAAACATTCTGGGTGACCCGCCACACCCTCTCGCCCGGCCGCACCCTTTGGACAAAGTTGGCAGGGAAGAAGCCGACCCTGTCTCCACTCTTCCCCTGGGAAATACGTGGAGAATAGTTAAAGAATGTTAAAGGAAGTCTTTCTTCAATTCCTATGAGTGTTGATGTACTCATCAACATTTTGTTCAACTAAACAGGCCCATGTATCAAATCCACATATTGATACGTTTATGCAACTACTGGACTTGCAGTTATTCTCAATAATTGTCTTGTGATGTACTAGGCTAATGCTTAGCTAGTCAAGGGACAAATTGCTAAGCTTGTTCCTTGGTGTTTTCTAGCAGGAAGAAATATGTGCAACAAGACATGTCTTGCAAACTCATCTTCTATCAGTTAGGAGTCTCGTGTTTAAATGACAGAGACAAATATTCTCATATTTCTGGTGCAGTATATGATGGATGGATGTGATTGATGCAGCCATTTTTCATCATGTATCTTTTTTTGCGTGATATTGACAAGTCTCTTACAGTGAAGCAGGGAATGGACTGCACATCATCGTCGACTTTGTCTTTCACAGTTTCTCTAAGCAGTTGCACTTATTACATTTCACATTTAGGCAAATGTGATTGTATTAATACAGCTGATGCACGTGTACACACACACACACACAAATGTAGACTGAGGTTGAATAAAGCTCATTTCAGACTCATTAAAAACCCCTTGAAGACCCTAACACTAGTCAAGTTCATTATGTTAAAGTGGTTTTTGGGGGAAATTGTTTTCTATTTTGGTCTGTGGCCGCCTTCCTCCTCATGACTGACAAACCCCGAGCAGCTGCTGTGAATTAAAGGCTTAATAAAGATTTGAATGAACACATGGTCATAATACAGGCAGAACCTCCCACTCCCTCCCAACCAGAAACAAATCAAATGCATTTAAATACATGATCATGGTCGTGCATAGATGTTTGCAAATGATTCATTACCCACCTTCCACCACTCTTCATTGGAGTCGTCTGTGACCTGCACCCGATCACCGGGACTGAAAGACAACAGCACGAGACGATTCAGGAGAAGATAAAGAAGGAGTAAAAAAAATATGAGTGAAAGCAGTGAAAAGTAAAATGGACACTTGACTGTGGAGAGCAAAGACAAGGGGATGTAGTCGTAGATATGAAGCTAGAGAGAGGTTGAAATATTGGTCCTCTGGAGACCAGACAGATCTGGTACCAAAGTAATGAGGTGTATGGGAGGTCAGACCTCTGTGGCTCCTCCTGACATGATGATGCTGGGACCTGAGCTGTGGCTAACCTGGCCTGCGTGATAAGAATGCTACAACTCAAAGGCAACTCTCCTAGTTTATACTCTGATTTGATCAACAGATAAATAGAAATGAATATAAAATATCCAGGAACTAAATAGTATGTTTTACTGCTAATGATCCTTGATGCAATTCAACCACTGATTAGAAATTATTATTAACAATTTATGTTTTCAATTTATAGTAAGTTTGATAACACAAGTCAAGTTTAAGAAGTTACAGACATCGGTGCACAATGTGCATGGGTTTTCTCCAGGTCCTCCAGATTCCTCCCTCAGCCATGCTAAGATCGGACACTCTAAATCAGGGTTGTCAAACATACGGCCCGTGGGCCAAAACCAGTCCGTCTGGTGTTTCAATCCGGCCCACTTGATAGAATTTGAAAATAAAAAAGTGAAAGAAAATAGAAATAGAAAATAGAAAATGAAAATGAAAAAAACATCCTGCCGTAGGGTCAGAGGGTGGGCACCTCTCTGTTTAACCAAAACATCTCCTTTCAGGTATTCAGCCACTACAATCTGTTTTTCTGTCTCACTAAGGGGTCACTGTGGGGCAGGTTAGCATTTCAACAAGAAACTCAAAGCTTTAGAACATTACAAAATCGCCTAAAAACTTACAAGAAGTAGTACAAGTACACAGTGCACACACGTGCACTTCCTGTCCCAGATATACAGGAAGAAGCTGCTGTTCCACTTTGACTCCTGTACATTGTGTCCTCTGGGTGTCTACGCACACACTTGTCCTACATGATCAGTAAAACAACGGTCCTGTATACTCACAGAGTAGCACGACACTCATACAGTTCAAATATTACCTCTGTTCAGCAGCTATAACTTTTATATAGCAACTATAGCAGCAACACTGGTTGTTCATAATCAAGAACATTCATACAGTAACTGAACAACCTGTAGCATCTCTCCATCTCCTTGGTCGAAGCTCCTACTAATTTAAAGCAACACGTCTACTCTAGTGGTAGCCGACCGTTGAGCTATGAATAGCTGGTAGGAACACTGCCCTGTCATGAGGAAGATGGGGAAGCAAATTCCAGAGAGATAAATGGCGGTCATTCCGACACTTCCTTCTACTTCTGAAATAATATATATATTTTTTTAGATTTTATCCTTTGTATTGAAGTTTGAAAGACATTATTCGAAAAATAATAATTTTTTTTTTTAGATTTTATCCTGTTTGTATTGAAGTTTGAAAGACATTATTATTACCTTTAAATGAAAATGATTACACTTCCTTTAAATTGCTGTGGCCCACTCTGACCCTGTTCCGAACGACCCACGGACCGGTGCCAGATTTGGGTTGAGGACCCCTGCTTTAAACAACCAAGAGCTGTTTTCCTGACTTCAAAAGCGTATTGGATTACTCACAGATTTGGGACTAAATGAAGATTAATTAAACGACAGGTCAGCACCGTCTGCTGATTAGAATAATCATTAGACATGACACAACCAGACATGACTTAATTTGGTTGATGATGCAACGTTCTGCACAGATGATTAAAAACAAAAACAAAAAAAAAATCCTCCTCCTCCTCCTCCATCCACAGTGGACACTGATTACCCCTGTGATAATTGGAGTTGAGACCCTTGCTCCACCGTCGGCACATGAATATAAATCACTCTTTGTCCTTGTATGTGGACTCGGCGGAAGGCTAACTGTCTGCGCCGCCTGGACCTTCAGTCTCCGTCAGTGTTGGATGGGATTGGCCTTTAGCTCCATCAAAGCATTGACCCCAGAGGTAAAACAAAGATGGATAAACTATGGTGTTAGATCAATCAAATCAGATCTTACAGTGTTTAGATACAAACTGACATAGTTAGTTATAGTTAGTTATAGACTTTCATGATCTTTTGCAGGTCAATATTTTATGGAGCACCGGAGACGCGTTATTTTTTCAGTGTCTACTATGTTAACTATTGTGCAGCAAGCAGCACAGATGGCAGTTAACACATTAATAAGTGCATGGATCTACCTGTGTGAGAGTCGTCCTCTGACACAAACACACACACACACACGTACGCACGCACACACACTGCCCTTATTCTACCCAGTTCTATCCTTCCTTTCTTTTCTATATTTTGCCCTCTACATTCTTCCCGTCTATGATAATCTTCATTTCTGTGCCTGTGCCTCCTTCCTCCTCCTCCTCCTCCTCCTCCTATGCCAGTCTGCCCTCTCATCTCTCAGTTGTTCAGTGTCTTTTATCCTCTCCCCTGCTGAGAACACAGCTCAGTCACAAGCTCTATGCTGGGACATTGACGAGAGCTGAGTTTATAATTAGTCATCCTTAAGGGCACCCCAGCACCATCCTCTACACATGGTGGGGACATTGTCATCCTGCAGCCAGGACAAAAAAAAAAAAAAAACAATCCACAAAACTAATTCACAGAATTTTCAATGTGCGTGCGTGAAGTTATTTTGCTTCCGCCTTGACTCACTGTAGTTCCAGGTCGTTCTGTTCCTGAGGCATAAACCTGTAGAGTGCTACATAGGTGTGGATGGAGTGGACTTCAATGCGCTTGGGCACCTGGACACGGGGACATGCAGGGACAGAGGCAGTGAGACCGAGCTATTCGCTTCTGGAAAAGGAACAAAACAAAAGGGGCGGGAGTCAAATGAAACGGAGCAGAACCTTCACGCCGCTCTCCTCCGCAGGTGTCTGTGCTTGGACGCCGCTCTCGTCCTCCTCCTTCTCTAACTCAGGATCGGGAACAGCCGCATCTGGAGGTGGTGGGGAAAAACCGCGTCAGCACTCACACGTATGTACGCACACATGTAATTTAGTTTCACTTTTCCCTCAGGCAGACACAGTAAACCTTTCACACAGACGGACATGCATAGGCAACACAGCAGAGGCGCCGACGACACACATAAACATGAGCACAGAGCACATATGCGTATGCACACGGGTGGAGAGACGGACAAACAGCAGTGTTTACCCCCCGTCTCCTGAGTTATCTCTTCCTCCATGCTGCTCTGTCTCTGCTGCCTCTCCTCACCTCCCTCACCCTTATCAGAGCAGAGAAAAGTAAGTGGGGTCAAAGGTCAATGACAGGAGGTTAATACTCTTCTTCCTCTGCCTCCTTCACACTGTACATCACACACACACCGGCAGATCTCACTGTCCTAACGTGACCCAGTGTTGTTGGTCTGTGCCACTATGTGAATTTTGGAAATCAGGAAAATGTGTTTAATGAGGTAAAAACAGCACAACTCATCCATGATGCCCTGGTGTCCAATTACTGGATATCAGGGGAAAAAAGGCGTGGCTCCAGTTCTCCAGTCTCCACGACTGCAAGAATACTTCAATAGAACCCACTCATACATTTTCATTATAACAGAGGTGTACAGTATGAATAGGGTAGGCAGTATACATCTATATATATATATACAGTAGGTGGTCTTAACCCCTTGTGGGTCACAAGCGGTACTGCAAGGGGGTCATAAACGTTACACATTTTCATGAATTGTAATATATATGTATTGCTGTAAATTGTATTGTTGTATACACGATAACAGGCAGGTTCATGCACAGCAGTGACGCTAGTACTACAGAGAATGTAATACGTTGGAAAAGGCAGGGGGCCGACTGCGGCTTATGCATGCAATTCATTTAATGTGCAGTAGGGGGTCCCTGCTCCATCCAAAAAATGTCAACGCCCCCATGTTTTAGATCAGCTCTGTGGCTTTGTTGTCGATCCGATCATCTCTGCCTGTGAATGCGATGGAATCACTGATGAGGATTATTTATGTTTAAGCACGGCACGTTTCTAATACTGCACTCACACACACACCAAGCTTCCACGATGGACAAACCCACGCGTCAGGCTGTCCAAAGTAGTTCTTAGGCTAACACAGCAGAGGGCACTGTAGGTGTTCCTGAAGCTCAGAGCTCTTCTTTGCCAATCAGTGGAAGCAATTAGAGAAACCTGACACTTGTGTCTGAAAAACCAATCACCTTTTTTTAAAGTGACAACAGAAATAACCAACGTCTTCACTCCAGTCGGACATAATTTCAGCTTCCCTTCAATCAACAGCTGTTGTTGGCTGCGTTGACGCAGTCGTGTAGCATCATCACAAGTTGGCTCTTTACTCTTGCCCATTTCCCAACATACGTTATCTCCAACAATGATGACGTAATGTTTACTTGCTGCCAATTTACTCTTGCCCATTTCCCAACATATGATGACGTAATGTTTACTTGCTGCCAGGACTAAGAGACAATTAGCGTCATTCTCTTTACATGTCAGTGGCCATATCCTTATGGACGATTGGTGAATATCAGCTCTGAGTTATTTTAATGGCCGCCCAGAACTGCAGTGCCAAGTGCATCACCACGCATATCTGGCATCAGAATATGGATCTAAAAAAGTTCCTTCATATACACGTATTAGAAAATAGAAACTGTCTCACATAATGTTCCACCTATAAATGTTTCAGGCATTTCAGAGCCATACAACGTTTCAGTGTCTTTGTTTTATTTCATATTTATGTTTAATCCTGTTAATCCTGCTGGAGGGTCATAAACGGTTAATAGTCAAATTCCAGCTTTATAACCATGGTCCCGGTCACCATAACCTTTCTGCTTCCTTGGGTGAGATTCTGCTGTGGCCACCCTCCACATTTCCTATGGTAATTACAGCATCGCCATTTCCAGCAGATGGCGCACTCAGCGACAGTCTATCTGGCCTATGCCAAGAACAAAGTCTCATGACAGCTGCTGGTCAGCTAAAGGTTGATAGCACCAAACAGGGCGTGTCTACCTGCAAGAGTTAACGTGATGCGTACATGAGTGCAGTATTAGGAAACCCAAACGTGCACGATGACAGCGGGTGAACTTCTGTATCTAATGGATACAGAAGGAGCGTGCTGTAAAACCTGTGTATATCTACATCAGCCAACTCGGGCCCACGTCCACCTAAACAGTCATAGATGTCATACCAGGCTTCGCGTCGGTGACTCCGACAAACTGCCAAAACTGGAGCGGCTCATCTGTGCCAAAGACGTCCCATAACGCAAAGCTGCGTACACGGGGTCGACGCGCGTCCGCACAGCCTCTGAAACCATACACACACATTCATAAGACTTGAGTCCTAAAAACCAGCCGTCATAATTGTGGTGCCACTGCCTATTTGCAGGAACCAGAGGGTCTAAATATAACTAAAGTGGGTAACACAGTGAGCACAGGACCAAAGCGACCCACTTTCGAACACGGAGCCGCAGCGGCCAGAAGTTAACAAGACATCATAAAGTTCCAGTCCATTTACAAACTTTGATTCTCTTCTGCATTTACTGGTTAACGTGACACATCTTAATGGTCAGAGTGAGCTGCTGGGGAGAGAAGGAGGAGAAATAAGATAGCAAATCCTCAGAAAACGCCTCAGTGGCACATTTCATTTGATAACAGAGAATTTCTGAAGTCGGAAATAAGATGTCCTCTCTTTTTTGGCCTGTATTTAATTCAGTGCTCTTTGAGCCGGAGGTAAAAAGATTTCTCTGCAGGGGCAAGATGATTTTATTTGTGTCTGCGAGGAGGAGATACAAAAACACTTTGTCGTACTGACAACACCAGTGTCCAACAGCTCACGAAAACAAGTGTGCGAAATGTTTTGAGATAAGAACAGTGTCTTTGGACGTGGATTGTTTCTCTACGTTATTTAATTTTTGCAACAATCTTTATATGAATGCATTTGCAGACACATAATAAAGAGGCTCTTCGCTCTGTTCGACTGAAAAACTCCTTTTTTTTATAGCAAATAAGACGTTTTCTTAATCTCCTAACATAAAAGCGAGCGTACCAAGGTTACTGTAGAACAATTTCTTGTCAAAACTTGGAGGAAAAAAAGAATTAAAAAAATGTAATTAATAAAAATAATATCTTTCTATTGCTTCAGTTGTATAATGGCTGTCTGTTCATTTAAATCAATGTTCACTTTTGTTGCAAGGAGCAGAGTTCATACTTTACAGCATACAGTATATTCCTATGTACTTCATCTCCTTCCTACCTTCATATATACTGTACATTGATACCTAGCTAGCTAGCCTATTTTCTATGTACTTTTTAACCTAATTTACTGAACTTACCTAACTAATTACATCCCCACCCTTAAATATATGTGGCTATCTGCCTGCCACAACAAAAACTCTTTTGAAATTTTGTACATTTTGCTACACCACTGTACCCAGCTGTCTAACTATGTCTATTTGTTACCTATTGACTACTCAGGTCAAGTAGCTAGGTAGTAGCTACCTAGCTACCTTACCGCCAGATAAATACTTTCCTACCTCCTTCATGACCGATCGCCATACTAATGTACTTATCCGTCTTAGTTATCCATCTTCAATGCTAAATCCAGATACACTGGAAATCAAAGTAAAGTTTTCTCATCTTCTAAAATCGAAAATTTCCCCACAACATTACATTTACATTAACAGCAGCTCTGCATTCCGGGCCGAACCTTTTGTTAGCGTAATAACAAGGACACAGTGAAATGTGCGACTGAGAGTTTGGCAGGTTGCAGACTCAGCGGACCCTGGCAGTGTCCCAGGCATCATGTTGTTGAGCTCGGGGTTGATGACGAAACTGTAGGTCAATTGCACCCTGATTCATAGATAAATGAGGAAGTGACATGAAGAGGCGCTAACCCAGATTCATCGCGACAGGACCGAGTTATGCAACATGACACTGCATCCTCTGCATAGAAGATCTTTAAATAAAATTCTCTCTTAATGTATCTTTCCGTGACCTACCATGGAAAAAGGTGAGTCACTATTGACACGAGATTCAACATCAGAGATCAAAATAACTAGATTTATGTAACTCTTAGCCAACAAAAGCTGTTTTGTGAAAATCTTAATGCGATCTTCTCAACTATAGGTTACTTTGTTCAATTAATTAGGCTACATATATTGCATTTTTTAATGGCGTCAGTATTTTTTCAGTATGTGTAGTTATATATATTTTTAAGAAAACATATATAAAAAATATAAACAATTATAGCTTGTTGAAAAAATGTGTTATTACTTTTTAGTCTAGTCCTGCTTTTCATATAAATTTGTCTCTTTTTGATGTATTTTTCATGACTTTTTATGTAATTTTCTTATCATGACTAATACTTTCAGTACTTTCATTTGGTATATCATCTAATATTGCCTAGTTGATGGCTATCCTTTGTGTTATCTGATTTAAAGTGTCTGGACTCAAATTTTACCATTGTTTAAAACCGTAATAAAGGATAAATTAGATGTTGGAAATGAATAAGTAATTTTGAAATGATGTGTCTAATTAGACAAGGCAATTACTCCACAAATTACTGATCTCTTTAGTTATTTTATGAAATACATTTTGATGTCGTGATGCAGGGAGTTTACACTCAGGCGGATCTGAGAATAGGCAGCATTTCAGTGTTTACCAAGCTCTAAACATGCAAGCTAGGCAGTGATTTACTACCTTCCCTCGGTCAAACAGGCTATAAACACAGATATAAAAACATAAACAGCAGGCTTTTATAAATATTTATTCTGTCCAACAGCCTTCTTTGAAACTGGAATTGTTCTCGCTCATTTTTTTATTTTTTTCACTTTGCCTGCCTCAGGTTGTCGAGTGAGATGGAGACATTTCTGGTTTTATCACAACACACAGGCGAACAAAAGTCTTAAAATATCCTGAAAAATGGCCAGACAGGAGCAACAAGACGAAACCGAAGCACAAACCAAACCGAAAAAGCACATTAGCACTCACCCCAGGACACACACATAACACCGGGCACTGGAAGCGTTCTCACCTTGGCTCGGTTGAACTTCCTTGACGACAGTCAGCTGGTCATTGACAAGCATTGGTGAGCTGAAGTTTCGCTTGAACACGCCAGGCTAATGAAGGAGAGCAGAGAGAGTAATGAGGTTTTTTTTTTTTTTCTGTTTTCACTGCTTCCTTTGATAGGTCTGGGCTGATGAGGGAACGGGTTCCATGAAGTGAACAGTAATGGAGAACAAATTAGTGACTGTGAAGCACATCAAGGCTGGCACACGTACACACAGACACACACTCCAGTGCTGCAAAATCAAGTTACAAATGAAAGCAAAGTGTTAGATCTCTTCGCCGCTAATTGGGACCAATGAATTCACTCAGGCACTTGCCTGTGTGCTGCTTACAAAGAGGCACGGACACATTTGGTGTGTGACTGTGTGGTTGTTTTTGTTATTTTGTGTGTGCTAATGTGTGTGTGTCCAAGTGTGTGGGGCCACGCAAATGACATTTTACACTGAATTAAGCACGCTAAGTGTTTCGGCAAAGACAGTTTGTCTTTGCACAGCTTGCAAATCGGCCTGTTGTTTATTCCTACTGGGTCAAGACGACGGGTCTTAAACTTCAACAGACCGAGGACCATTTCACCTATAAATAAACTCATGGACCGCCTTAACCTGAATATGCTAAATAAATTGAGCTAACGTTATATTAGTCCTATTAAAAAGCCATTTTTCAAAATCTTCTTTAAGGTCACATAAACAAACCGAACGTGCCAATCATGTGCCACGTCTCACCTTTCCGTCAGATAAAGATGTACAGATACAGGCCGGGTGACATTTACCTCCTTCCTGACCTTATCATTTTGCCTCCACTTTCTTTTTGCGCTCTAGGGCCAAGTCTTAAGTCTTAAAATTTTCCAAGTGGTTCTCATAAGGTCTCACCTCTCGCTGAATGCTAATGTCCTCTGCCTCACACTGAGGGACGAACACGCGGCCAGGGTCTGAAATAACCGCTGACTGCTGCATTTAGTCGTGCCCTTATTTACATCAAGGCAGCTATCATTAAAAGGTGGAGTAGGCAAATGTGTACAATTATTAGGGTTATATATAATATTAAATTAAAATATACAAAGAGCATTTTCAATTATTTCCACACCCCTACCAAGAAACGTGACTGATTCCAAAAAGTTAGCCACACTTGGCTAAAAAATCTCATGTGAATAATTTAAAATGATAAAAAAAATCATCTAGTTATGGATTTATAATATTTAAAATGTTAAATAGTTTAAAAGTATATGATGGACAGGCGACAGCTTCCTGTTATTTACAGATGTGTTTTATCAGCACTTGACATATGAGTCATCTCCATTCGACTGATTCTCATCCACTGACGGTTGCAGTGTGGTTGCGTTCTGAGTTAAAAGTGACTTGAGCAGCTAAGTGGACATGAAATGCTGCTGACTCAGTCACATTACACAAGGTGACATGATGAGCCACTGTTTTTTTGGGGGGGGGTTATAATGGATGCTGCTTCACTTATGTTCTTTTCAAAAATGCAATTTCTTTTCTTTTCACCGGACGTTAGATAATGTGATAAAATACAAAAAAATTATGATTTCAGGCGCAGGAAAAAAAAAAAAATTAAATTCAAACCGATTCTGGTTTGAGTTTAAGTTTCTATGGTTGCAGCATTTATACTTAAATTATTCGAGGTACAATTTCAATATCAGGTCATTTCAAGTTGCTGGTTTTAAAATGGGCCAATTTGAGGAAGGAAGGAGACGAAATTCAAATTCTGAGTAGAAATTAGAGCTTTTATTCCTTATCCGTGTTGGAACAGAAGATTCACAAAAATGAAGGGATGGTGTTCTCTTATATCTGATATTTTTTCTTGTGGTTTACTGTCACACTATATTTGGCACAAAGCGAACAATAACTAATGTCAAAAGGCTAAATGACTTTGTGTGTGTGTTTATCTGCCTTGGCAGAGAGTCAAACTCTTTCACACACCTCACAGCCTCAGTCATGTTTTCCACATTAGGTCCCAGAAGTGAAATTTGTTTACAAAGAAGCAGGGTGTTGCTAGCTGCTACGATTAGCTTCTTGCAGATTGAATCTTTGAGGAGTAGCAAAAAAATGTATTCGCAAAAATGTTTTTCTGTTCAGAGGAGTTAGTGTTATATTATTTATATAGTGGTCAGACGTTTGGGAAATTGGAAAGAGTTGTGATTTTATTTTGTTCAATTAGCACAGCGACATTCTAGAAATCATTTGCATATTTTGATTTAGCTCTAGATTGCTGACTCAGACAGAGAATAAGCTGGTTATCAGATTCGTACCTTTCCGTGACACAGCTGCTGCGATAGTTCAGAGGTGCACCACAGGTGAGCAGCCATCTTGCAGGTTTTACACCGCAGAGCTTGTTTGGAGTTTCCTGCAGGTAGAGACAAAAACAGGGAGAGTGAGAGCAAAGGGCGGAGACACGAAGAACTGCAGACAGTCTGCAGAATCACAACAGGCACAACCGCAGGAGGGCTCCTTATAACAAGCAGGTTTCTCTGGGCTCGGATCGACAGTGTAATTAAGCGGTGCCCCAGATTCGTCACGCTGGCACTGTTCACATAGCTGACACTAACATAATCAACAGCTCCACGTTGAAAATATCGTGGAGCGACTGAAAACCAGCTGGAGGTATTTCAATCGTGATGGATTTGGCATTGAGTCATCTCCCGCCTTCTCATCTTGGTTTTCAAGAGAAGCAGTAATAAAACACCTCTGAGCAATTAGCTTCTGTTGTTCTACTCATTAATGGTGTGTACTGACAAATCCTCTGCTGATTGGACTTTGTTTTTAATAAGAGAATTACTGGGTTGAGTCCCACCGCATCCAGAAAGAAGGAGATAGGAAGGTTAGGGTCGAGGAGTATTGGTACACAACAATACAGAAAAATATTGGTACAAATATTGGCTAACGTGTAGCTATTTCTCAAAGCTTGTAGCTACAGTATGTCCTTCACTAAACTTCATCATTTTTGGATACGTTTTGTTTAATATTTAACTATTTTTGTGACATATGAGGTCATTTCGCAATTTTTTGGTTACAGTTGAGCTATTAGCTTTTTTGTATCAGCTTCTTTGGTTGGTTTCAGTTGAGTCCTGCCTAATTTTACATTTACTTTGTAGCTGTTCATGGGTAAATGTTTAAGTAGTTTTGATAAATATCCAAATAATGCTAACTATTGTCAGGTTGACTTGTAATATTTTTGTAATATAATTTGATCTATTTTTCTTGCTATCCCTTTGCTTTGTTTTGGCTTACCTGTAGCTACGGAGTTTTTTGCTGTGTTTCCTTGAGCTATTTCTGTTTTGTTGAGTAAAATGTTGAGCTTTTTTCGCTAAACGTCATCAGAAAAGAAATGATTCTGTCACAAACACATTATTAAATTCAATAAAAGAGTGAATTTCCTGCACAATGGAGGACACCGAACCATTAAACCATCTTCGGTTCCATGCTAGGCAATAGAACCACAGCAATCAACAACAGGGAAAGGCTGTAAAACTGCCTGGTATTTTACATTAATACCATGGCATTCAATTGAGGAACTAGAGCAGCATTTAAGACCCAGTGGTTGGATGCAGAATTTAAATAAATGCTAAGTTATGTTTGGTTTAGCCATTCATATTTTTAATGCAAATAAAACTGAGTTTCATTCTTATTTATTGGTTCAAATGATTTCTTTTTTTGAATTCTGGCTGCTCCTGTGTACAACTATCACAAAAGGGTAAGCGCTGGTTTATCAGGTGCAGAGCTCCTGGAAGATAAACACAGCTGTAAATAAAATCCTGCGAAGGCACAGCTGAACCTTGGTTTATAAAGAAGGGATTGGCGGAGCCCCTTACCGACTATCATGTGCTTGCAGTGCTGGCAGTTTGTAGGTTTGCGGAAAACATGGTCTTGAAAACAGTGAGTAATTTGAGGACAGGGAGGCTTGGCGGGCAGCGAGGGGGAAAGGCTGAGCGAGGGAGAGTGGGAGGAGATGGAAGGGTTGGGGCTGAGGGAAGGTGAAACGGACGGCGAGCGTTCGCCAATGAGGGGAGAGCCGGGCAGCAGTGGGGGGGAAGGGGGCGGCGGGTCGGTGATGAAATCGGGCGGCAGGCGGGGGGCGCTCTCGGATCTCTGGGAGAAGGTCTACCACCTTTTGAGCAGAGAAAAGTAAGTGGGGTCAAAGGTCAATGACAGGAGGTTAATACTCTTCTTCCTCTGCCTCCTTCACACTGTACATCACACACACACCGGCAGATCTCACTGTCCTAACGTGACCCAGTGTTGTTGGTCTGTGCCACTATGTGAATTTTGGAAATCAGGAAAATGTGTTTAATGAGGTAAAAACAGCACAACTCATCCATGATGCCCTGGTGTCCAATTACTGGATATCAGGGGAAAAAAGGCGTGGCTCCAGTTCTCCAGTCTCCACGACTGCAAGAATACTTCAATAGAACCCACTCATACATTTTCATTATAACAGAGGTGTACAGTATGAATAGGGTAGGCAGTATACATCTATATATATATACAGTAGGTGGTCTTAACCCCTTGTGGGTCACAAGCGGTACTGCAAGGGGGTCATAAACGTTACACATTTTCATGAATTGTAATATATATGTATTGCTGTAAATTGTATTGTTGTATACACGATAACAGGCAGGTTCATGCACAGCAGTGACGCTAGTACTACAGAGAATGTAATACGTTGGAAAAGGCAGGGGGCCGACTGCGGCTTATGCATGCAATTCATTTAATGTGCAGTAGGGGGTCCCTGCTCCATCCAAAAAATGTCAACGCCCCCATGTTTTAGATCAGCTCTGTGGCTTTGTTGTCGATCCGATCATCTCTGCCTGTGAATGCGATGGAATCACTGATGAGGATTATTTATGTTTAAGCACGGCACGTTTCTAATACTGCACTCACACACACACCAAGCTTCCACGATGGACAAACCCACGCGTCAGGCTGTCCAAAGTAGTTCTTAGGCTAACACAGCAGAGGGCACTGTAGGTGTTCCTGAAGCTCAGAGCTCTTCTTTGCCAATCAGTGGAAGCAATTAGAGAAACCTGACACTTGTGTCTGAAAAACCAATCACCTTTTTTTAAAGTGACAACAGAAATAACCAACGTCTTCACTCCAGTCGGACATAATTTCAGCATCCCTTCAATCAACAGCTGTTGTTGGCTGCGTTGACGCAGTCGTGTAGCATCATCACAAGTTGGCTATTTACTCTTGCCCATTTCCCAACATACGTTATCTCCAACAATGATGACGTAATGTTTACTTGCTGCCAGGACTAAGAGACAATTAGCGTCATTCTCTTTACATGTCAGTGGCCATATCCTTATGGACGATTGGTGAATATCAGCTCTGAGTTATTTTAATGGCCGCCCAGAACTGCAGTGCCAAGTGCATCACCACGCATATCTGGCATCAGAATATGGATCTAAAAAAGTTCCTTCATATACACGTATTAGAAAATAGAAACTGTCTCACATAATGTTCCACCTATAAATGTTTCAGGCATTTCAGAGCCATACAACGTTTCAGTGTCTTTGTTTTATTTCATATTTATGTTTAATCCTGTTAATCCTGCTGGAGGGTCATAAACGGTTAATAGTCAAATTCCAGCTTTATAACCATGGTCCCGGTCACCATAACCTTTCTGCTTCCTTGGGTGAGATTCTGCTGTGGCCACCCTCCACATTTCCTATGGTAATTACAGCATCGCCATTTCCAGCAGATGGCGCACTCAGCGACAGTCTATCTGGCCTATGCCAAGAACAAAGTCTCATGACAGCTGCTGGTCAGCTAAAGGTTGATAGCACCAAACAGGGCGTGTCTACCTGCAAGAGTTAACGTGATGCGTACATGAGTGCAGTATTAGGAAACCCAAACGTGCACGATGACAGCGGGTGAACTTCTGTATCTAATGGATACAGAAGGAGCGTGCTGTAAAACCTGTGTATATCTACATCAGCCAACTCGGGCCCACGTCCACCTAAACAGTCATAGATGTCATACCAGGCTTCGCGTCGGTGACTCCGACAAACTGCCAAAACTGGAGCGGCTCATCTGTGCCAAAGACGTCCCATAACGCAAAGCTGCGTACACGGGGTCGACGCGCGTCCGCACAGCCTCTGAAACCATACACACACATTCATAAGACTTGAGTCCTAAAAACCAGCCGTCATAATTGTGGTGCCACTGCCTATTTGCAGGAACCAGAGGGTCTAAATATAACTAAAGTGGGTAACACAGTGAGCACAGGACCAAAGCGACCCACTTTCGAACACGGAGCCGCAGCGGCCAGAAGTTAACAAGACATCATAAAGTTCCAGTCCATTTACAAACTTTGATTCTCTTCTGCATTTACTGGTTAACGTGACACATCTTAATGGTCAGAGTGAGCTGCTGGGGAGAGAAGGAGGAGAAATAAGATAGCAAATCCTCAGAAAACGCCTCAGTGGCACATTTCATTTGATAACAGAGAATTTCTGAAGTCGGAAATAAGATGTCCTCTCTTTTTTGGCCTGTATTTAATTCAGTGCTCTTTGAGCCGGAGGTAAAAAGATTTCTCTGCAGGGGCAAGATGATTTTATTTGTGTCTGCGAGGAGGAGATACAAAAACACTTTGTCGTACTGACAACACCAGTGTCCAACAGCCCACGAAAACAAGTGTGCGAAATGTTTTGAGATAAGAACAGTGTCTTTGGACGTGGATTGTTTCTCTACGTTATTTAATTTTTGCAACAATCTTTATATGAATGCATTTGCAGACACATAATAAAGAGGCTCTTCGCTCTGTTCGACTGAAAAACTCCTTTTTTTTATAGCAAATAAGACGTTTTCTTAATCTCCTAACATAAAAGCGAGCGTACCAAGGTTACTGTAGAACAATTTCTTGTCAAAACTTGGAGGAAAAAAAGAATTAAAAAAATGTAATTAATAAAAATAATATCTTTCTATTGCTTCAGTTGTATAATGGCTGTCTGTTCATTTAAATCAATGTTCACTTTTGTTGCAAGGAGCAGAGTTCATACTTTACAGCATACAGTATATTCCTATGTACTTCATCTCCTTCCTACCTTCATATATACTGTACATTGATACCTAGCTAGCTAGCCTATTTTCTATGTACTTTTTAACCTAATTTACTGAACTTACCTAACTAATTACATCCCCACCCTTAAATATATGTGGCTATCTGCCTGCCACAACAAAAACTCTTTTGAAATTTTGTACATTTTGCTACACCACTGTACCCAGCTGTCTAACTATGTCTATTTGTTACCTATTGACTACTCAGGTCAAGTAGCTAGGTAGTAGCTACCTAGCTACCTTACCGCCAGATAAATACTTTCCTACCTCCTTCATGACCGATCGCCATACTAATGTACTTATCCGTCTTAGTTATCCATCTTCAATGCTAAATCCAGATACACTGGAAATCAAAGTAAAGTTTTCTCATCTTCTAAAATCGAAAATTTCCCCACAACATTACATTTACATTAACAGCAGCTCTGCATTCCGGGCCGAACCTTTTGTTAGCGTAATAACAAGGACACAGTGAAATGTGCGACTGAGAGTTTGGCAGGTTGCAGACTCAGCGGACCCTGGCAGTGTCCCAGGCATCATGTTGTTGAGCTCGGGGTTGATGACGAAACTGTAGGTCAATTGCACCCTGATTCATAGATAAATGAGGAAGTGACATGAAGAGGCGCTAACCCAGATTCATCGCGACAGGACCGAGTTATGCAACATGACACTGCATCCTCTGCATAGAAGATCTTTAAATAAAATTCTCTCTTAATGTATCTTTCCGTGACCTACCATGGAAAAAGGTGAGTCACTATTGACACGAGATTCAACATCAGAGATCAAAATAACTAGATTTATGTAACTCTTAGCCAACAAAAGCTGTTTTGTGAAAATCTTAATGCGATCTTCTCAACTATAGGTTACTTTGTTCAATTAATTAGGCTACATATATTGCATTTTTTAATGGCGTCAGTATTTTTTCAGTATGTGTAGTTATATATATTTTTAAGAAAACATATATAAAAAATATAAACAATTATAGCTTGTTGAAAAAATGTGTTATTACTTTTTAGTCTAGTCCTGCTTTTCATATAAATTTGTCTCTTTTTGATGTATTTTTCATGACTTTTTATGTAATTTTCTTATCATGACTAATACTTTCAGTACTTTCATTTGGTATATCATCTAATATTGCCTAGTTGATGGCTATCCTTTGTGTTATCTGATTTAAAGTGTCTGGACTCAAATTTTACCATTGTTTAAAACCGTAATAAAGGATAAATTAGATGTTGGAAATGAATAAGTAATTTTGAAATGATGTGTCTAATTAGACAAGGCAATTACTCCACAAATTACTGATCTCTTTAGTTATTTTATGAAATACATTTTGATGTCGTGATGCAGGGAGTTTACACTCAGGCGGATCTGAGAATAGGCAGCATTTCAGTGTTTACCAAGCTCTAAACATGCAAGCTAGGCAGTGATTTACTACCTTCCCTCGGTCAAACAGGCTATAAACACAGATATAAAAACATAAACAGCAGGCTTTTATAAATATTTATTCTGTCCAACAGCCTTCTTTGAAACTGGAATTGTTCTCGCTCATTTTTTTATTTTTTTCACTTTGCCTGCCTCAGGTTGTCGAGTGAGATGGAGACATTTCTGGTTTTATCACAACACACAGGCGAACAAAAGTCTTAAAATATCCTGAAAAATGGCCAGACAGGAGCAACAAGACGAAACCGAAGCACAAACCAAACCGAAAAAGCACATTAGCACTCACCCCAGGACACACACATAACACCGGGCACTGGAAGCGTTCTCACCTTGGCTCGGTTGAACTTCCTTGACGACAGTCAGCTGGTCATTGACAAGCATTGGTGAGCTGAAGTTTCGCTTGAACACGCCAGGCTAATGAAGGAGAGCAGAGAGAGTAATGAGGTTTTTTTTTTTTTCTGTTTTCACGGCTTCCTTTGATGGGTCTGGGCTGATGAGGGAACGGGTTCCATGAAGTGAACAGTAATGGAGAACAAATTAGTGACTGTGAAGCACATCAAGGCTGGCACACGTACACACAGACACACACTCCAGTGCTGCAAAATCAAGTTACAAATGAAAGCAAAGTGTTAGATCTCTTCGCCGCTAATTGGGACCAATGAATTCACTCAGGCACTTGCCTGTGTGCTGCTTACAAAGAGGCACGGACACATTTGGTGTGTGACTGTGTGGTTGTTTTTGTTATTTTGTGTGTGCTAATGTGTGTGTGTCCAAGTGTGTGGGGCCACGCAAATGACATTTTACACTGAATTAAGCACGCTAAGTGTTTCGGCAAAGACAGTTTGTCTTTGCACAGCTTGCAAATCGGCCTGTTGTTTATTCCTACTGGGTCAAGACGACGGGTCTTAAACTTCAACAGACCGAGGACCATTTCACCTATAAATAAACTCATGGACCGCCTTAACCTGAATATGCTAAATAAATTGAGCTAACGTTATATTAGTCCTATTAAAAAGCCATTTTTCAAAATCTTCTTTAAGGTCACATAAACAAACCGAACGTGCCAATCATGTGCCACGTCTCACCTTTCCGTCAGATAAAGATGTACAGATACAGGCCGGGTGACATTTACCTCCTTCCTGACCTTATCATTTTGCCTCCACTTTCTTTTTGCGCTCTAGGGCCAAGTCTTAAGTCTTAAAATTTTCCAAGTGGTTCTCATAAGGTCTCACCTCTCGCTGAATGCTAATGTCCTCTGCCTCACACTGAGGGACGAACACGCGGCCAGGGTCTGAAATAACCGCTGACTGCTGCATTTAGTCGTGCCCTTATTTACATCTCATGAGGAGGGTTTCATCAGAAACAAGATGAAGTCTAATTACAGGCACTTTTACTTGCAGTGCTACTGCTAAAAAGTAAAGAATTTCAAGCTAAGCTAAGCTGTAGCAGCTAAGCTAAGCTGTAGCACACGTACGGGCACACGTCATGACATAATTTCCACCCGAGGTGGCAAGTGGAAAAGTCATAAACAATTTAACATTAGCTACACCTTAGATTAGTTAGCCAAACAATAGCGAAATAGCTAAACAGTAGCCAAACAGAGCTACAAAGACGGAACAAGCAAGATAGCCAAAAAGTGCTATAAGGCAGCTAACATTAAAAGGTGGAGTAGGCAAATGTGTACAATTATTAGGGTTATATATAATATTAAATTAAAATATACAAAGAGCATTTTCAATTATTTCCACACCCCTACCAAGAAACGTGACTGATTCCAAAAAGTTAGCCACACTTGGCTAAAAAATCTCATGTGAATAATTTAAAATGATAAAAAAAATCATCTAGTTATGGATTTATAATATTTAAAATGTTAAATAGTTTAAAAGTATATGATGGACAGGCGACAGCTTCCTGTTATTTACAGATGTGTTTTATCAGCACTTGACATATGAGTCATCTCCATTCGACTGATTCTCATCCACTGACGGTTGCAGTGTGGTTGCGTTCTGAGTTAAAAGTGACTTGAGCAGCTAAGTGGACATGAAATGCTGCTGACTCAGTCACATTACACAAGGTGACATGATGAGCCACTGTTTTTTTGGGGGGGGGTTATAATGGATGCTGCTTCACTTATGTTCTTTTCAAAAATGCAATTTCTTTTCTTTTCACCGGACGTTAGATAATGTGATAAAATACAAAAAAATTATGATTTCAGGTGCAGGAAAAAAAAAAAAATTAAATTCAAACCGATTCTGGTTTGAGTTTAAGTTTCCATGGTTGCAGCATTTATACTTAAATTATTCGAGGTACAATTTCAATATCAGGTCATTTCAAGTTGCTGGTTTTAAAATGGGCCAATTTGAGGAAGGAAGGAGACGAAATTCAAATTCTGAGTAGAAATTAGAGCTTTTATTCCTTATCCGTGTTGGAACAGAAGATTCACAAAAATGAAGGGATGGTGTTCTCTTATATCTGATATTTTTTCTTGTGGTTTACTGTCACACTATATTTGGCACAAAGCGAACAATAACTAATGTCAAAAGGCTAAATGACTTTGTGTGTGTGTTTATCTGCCTTGGCAGAGAGTCAAACTCTTTCACACACCTCACAGCCTCAGTCATGTTTTCCACATTAGGTCCCAGAAGTGAAATTTGTTTACAAAGAAGCAGGGTGTTGCTAGCTGCTACGATTAGCTTCTTGCAGATTGAATCTTTGAGGAGTAGCAAAAAAATGTATTCGCAAAAATGTTTTTCTGTTCAGAGGAGTTAGTGTTATATTATTTATATAGTGGTCAGACGTTTGGGAAATTGGAAAGAGTTGTGATTTTATTTTGTTCAATTAGCACAGCGACATTCTAGAAATCATTTGCATATTTTGATTTAGCTCTAGATTGCTGACTCAGACAGAGAATAAGCTGGTTATCAGATTCGTACCTTTCCGTGACACAGCTGCTGCGATAGTTCAGAGGTGCACCACAGGTGAGCAGCCATCTTGCAGGTTTTACACCGCAGAGCTTGTTTGGAGTTTCCTGCAGGTAGAGACAAAAACAGGGAGAGTGAGAGCAAAGGGCGGAGACACGAAGAACTGCAGACAGTCTGCAGAATCACAACAGGCACAACCGCAGGAGGGCTCCTTATAACAAGCAGGTTTCTCTGGGCTCGGATCGACAGTGTAATTAAGCGGTGCCCCAGATTCGTCACGCTGGCACTGTTCACATAGCTGACACTAACATAATCAACAGCTCCACGTTGAAAATATCGTGGAGCGACTGAAAACCAGCTGGAGGTATTTCAATCGTGATGGATTTGGCATTGAGTCATCTCCCGCCTTCTCATCTTGGTTTTCAAGAGAAGCAGTAATAAAACACCTCTGAGCAATTAGCTTCTGTTGTTCTACTCATTAATGGTGTGTACTGACAAATCCTCTGCTGATTGGACTTTGTTTTTAATAAGAGAATTACTGGGTTGAGTCCCACCGCATCCAGAAAGAAGGAGATAGGAAGGTTAGGGTCGAGGAGTATTGGTACACAACAATACAGAAAAATATTGGTACAAATATTGGCTAACGTGTAGCTATTTCTCAAAGCTTGTAGCTACAGTATGTCCTTCACTAAACTTCATCATTTTTGGATACGTTTTGTTTAATATTTAACTATTTTTGTGACATATGAGGTCATTTCGCAATTTTTTGGTTACAGTTGAGCTATTAGCTTTTTTGTATCAGCTTCTTTGGTTGGTTTCAGTTGAGTCCTGCCTAATTTTACATTTACTTTGTAGCTGTTCATGGGTAAATGTTTAAGTAGTTTTGATAAATATCCAAATAATGCTAACTATTGTCAGGTTGACTTGTAATATTTTTGTAATATAATTTGATCTATTTTTCTTGCTATCCCTTTGCTTTGTTTTGGCTTACCTGTAGCTACGGAGTTTTTTGCTGTGTTTCCTTGAGCTATTTCTGTTTTGTTGAGTAAAATGTTGAGCTTTTTTCGCTAAACGTCATCAGAAAAGAAATGATTCCTATTCTATTTCTGTTCTGCTTTTTTCACTAAACGTCATCAGAAAAGAAATGATTCTGTCACAAACACATTATTAAATTCAATAAAAGAGTGAATTTCCTGCACAATGGAGGACACCGAACCATTAAACCATCTTCGGTTCCATGCTAGGCAATAGAACCACAGCAATCAACAACAGGGAAAGGCTGTAAAACTGCCTGGTATTTTACATTAATACCATGGCATTCAATTGAGGAACTAGAGCAGCATTTAAGACCCAGTGGTTGGATGCAGAATTTAAATAAATGCTAAGTTATGTTTGGTTTAGCCATTCATATTTTTAATGCAAATAAAACTGAGTTTCATTCTTATTTATTGGTTCAAATGATTTCTTTTTTTGAATTCTGGCTGCTCCTGTGTACAACTATCACAAAAGGGTAAGCGCTGGTTTATCAGGTGCAGAGCTCCTGGAAGATAAACACAGCTGTAAATAAAATCCTGCGAAGGCACAGCTGAACCTTGGTTTATAAAGAAGGGATTGGCGGAGCCCCTTACCGACTATCATGTGCTTGCAGTGCTGGCAGTTTGTAGGTTTGCGGAAAACATGGTCTTGAAAACAGTGAGTAATTTGAGGACAGGGAGGCTTGGCGGGCAGCGAGGGGGAAAGGCTGAGCGAGGGAGAGTGGGAGGAGATGGAAGGGTTGGGGCTGAGGGAAGGTGAAACGGACGGCGAGCGTTCGCCAATGAGGGGAGAGCCGGGCAGCAGTGGGGGGGAAGGGGGCGGCGGGTCGGTGATGAAATCGGGCGGCAGGCGGGCGTCGCTGTAGGATCTCTGGAAGAAGTTCTCCACACTTTTGCTGCGCATCATGGTCTTGAAGGACAGCGATCGCTTTAGCCGTTCCAGCTGCAGGGAGACGGGGACAGAGACAAATCAGATTGTACCACAGATAAGTGATATTGAACATGACAGAGCGACACGTCCCCGTCTGTAAACATCCACATTCAAAAACAGACTCAACGTGTGCGGATAAGTTGCTCAGAGACATGGAAAAATATTTCACACAATAGCAGCTCTGCTGGTTGGTTTGGCTGAACCGAGATAAGGCGTTTGTCTGTGAGCCCACCCACGACGGCACATTAAAGACGAGCCATGTGTTGATGACATGTCCATGGTGTCGGTGGCGGAGGGGCTATTGTGATGAAATTAAAACAGGAGAGTTCAGGCTTATCACGTATGAACAGTCCATCCTCGGGGTTCTTAATCTGATGGAGCCGCCTCATCCGTACCATTGATTGGCACACAGCCTTGTACACAGCACACACATTGACGTTCCTCCTTCCTGCGTCCAACACCCGTGCCTCCTCCTCCTCCTCCTCCTCCTCCTCCTCCTCCTCCTCCTCCTCCTCCTCCTCCTCCTCCTCCTCCTCCTCCTCCTCCTCCTCCTCCTCCTCCTCCTCCTCCTTCCACCCACCCTTGTATCAGTTTGCTAACCTGCTCTTATACGTATCGACTCAACCAGAAGCTGAAGTATTTTACAAGCTTTATTGACCGACCGGTCGTTCACGATCGATGGTGGGTGTATAAAAGCCCAACAATTACATGTCAATTGCCACATCAGTGCTGGTCCCGTATGTACAATCTACTGTCTGCAGCCAGGGTGCATCGATTGGCTGGACAGATGCATGTTAGTTTGTTTATCTTCCTCCCACGTATATCATTGATGACGATGATACTTGTTTACCTCAGGGTGGATGGTCATTTGTTACCGTGACATGTCGAACCAGCAGGGCGGCAGAAAGGGTGTGGTCAGCCGACATGGATATATAATCAGTGGACCGTGGGCAGTGTGTGTGCCAGCGCTTTGTTTTCTACCTGCAATCATTCTGCCCAGCATCAGACATGACCACTGCGTGTGTGAGTGTGTGTTCAAAGGAGAAAAAAATAGAACCACAATGGACATGAGTAAGGATGCTAATATCGGGCCGATAATAGCATCCCAAAATTAGCATATTATGTAATATCTATAAGTATCGTTATCGTTTTTCCTCTGATAATGAAAACCCGATAACAAAATGCTTGGGTTTCGCCAAATGATGTGTGCCCTTAAAATAGTTTTGGGGAAAAACAGCTGTATATTAAAGTGAAACTCACTAGGTGGCAGCATTACAGCTCATTTAATTAATCTCATACTCATACAGTGGTTTGTACAGGTAAATAAATAAATATTACCAGCCTGTGTCGATATCAGTTGATCTCGGAATCGGAAATTAAGTGTTTGGCATATCGGATATCGGCAAAAGTTCATATCGGACATCCCTAGACACAAGTAAATGCAAACTGCATGCTTTTTGATGCTTCACGTGCATCGATTATCATGGCCGATTACATTTCCTGAGTTATATTTGAGGACTGACAAACGTTAAGGAGGACTGAAGTGTCGTAGCTTTCCATTTTTACCTCCTCTTCATTTCTGTGGACCTGTTTCAGTCACAGCAGCCGATTCGTCAGCTCCAGTCACGAACGCATCTCAATTACAGCCAATCTAATCGTCCTAATGTCCTCGCGTGGGCCTTAAAAGCATTCCCATCAGCTTCCATTTAATAATTAGCTGAACACAATCCTACTTTTAACTGAAGGCCACTGAAATACCACAGTCAGTTGGTATCAGCAGGGAACACATTCACTGCTCTTGAGCTTGCCGCATACAGGAGTTTTTTTTTTCTATTTCTTTTTGAAATGATGATGAAGATGAAGTGATAGAGGCCCTGATGTACAACCCAATCCCAGATGGATTATTTATAACCTGCAATTTCATTGACACAGGCTGTCAGGTACAAACGGTGGAGCCTCAATCATCCTTCAGTCCACTGACCTTTTTTTGGGAAAAGCAAAACAGGATCTTTACAGAGCCATTCTGGGTGTATTTAAAATATTGTTACAGTACAGGGGATGTGAAATTTTATCAAAGAGGTCGTTTCTCCAGACGTGAAGAAGCCTCTTGGACGAGAGGTGAAACAGTGCAACGTAACTCAATTTTCGCCGTAAATCTGAGATTTTTTAAATTTATTTAAACGAGTAAAAATCTATTACAGTCTGTTCAAAAACTGGGTTTTGAAGTTCCGCCCCTCCACACTGTAAATGTCACTGCTGAACTAAGCAAAACGGGGCAAACACGGCCACTCTGTGCCCCATGTGCTTCATAAACAGCCACATATACACTGTACCACACAGATAAAGTCTTTTTACTCCGTCGTCCGATGCACACGTTCAATAATTCGTCTAGACTCCAGCAAATGTGCTTTAACTTGCAGACATCAGTCTTCGTCAATAAACCAGGGAGCGATGAAGAGTTGGCTATTCTGCCTTTGAGAACAGTGAAGATTCTTTTCTATGGCACATCTGCAGTCAAACGCTGCCCAAACAGAATGGACCTCGTAAAATTGGAAATGAGTGTAATTCTGATTTTTAACAATCTGTTTCCAGGGCGGTCCAACCCATAATCCTAACATTCACCTCAGCCCTGCTCAGACGTAGCCCTCATAAATATCTAACATCGTCTCTGGATAAAGGGCGGCGCAGCTGTAACTCTGAAACATTTTTTTTTTCTATTTCCGAAAAGATGTGGCTTTTGCTCCCTCCATCAGGATTTAATGGAGCCAATCGGGCTGATTGACATGTTGCTGAACAACAAAGGCTCTGTCCCACTGGGAGCAGGATGGGATTTTTCTTTTTACTAAAAAGCTTATCCCTTACCTCCAGCTGCGTGTACTTTAAAAGGTAGTAAAGGTCAATATAAATACTTTATTTCAACGTTAAAGGAGAGATGGAGTCTGAGCAACGCTGCTGTTAACCTGAATCTCTCAGTGAATAATTTTATGATTTTACTTGCTTATGTGTAAGCGAGTAAAAATCAAATTATAGGGTAAGGAGTATAGCACTGTTTAATGACAGAGGCAGCGATAAACGCTTCTGTTTCATGTTATTTCCTGGGGGAAATTCTTACCGAGTGTGATCCTATACCTTAGCCTTGAAAAAAACAAAAACAAAACAAGATTGAATTGTTGTGCCATAAATGTCACAGTATCTGACCCTGTGATCTACTGCAAGTGAGGTTATGTAAAGGGAACATACTGTATCTGTTCTCTGGGTCACATCAGAGAACACGTGGTTCCAGAAGGAACTGATTGCCCTCCAGAACCATGTACAACATCACCTGCCATGTTTATTGATTGGATTGATAAAACTGGCCATAATGAGACTGCAGGTCTAGTCAGTCTTTGGAAAATTTGTTGGATTATATTTTCAGATCGGCACAAATAGTCCTTGAATGTCCAGTATGACGTTTTAATAATATACTGCTTAAGAATTTCTTAAAAAACAATCGCAAAAACAGCTAAAAGTTGAGTATATAGCCATATAGCATAAGATAAATATTAGCTGTAGCCAAGGGTTAAAAAGGTTAAACATTGCCTATAAAGAAAGCATCATTCAGAAACTACTGAAAGATTTTAAAGTTGCTGAAAAAAAACTGCCTTCAAAACGATCTGAGCTGTTAAAGAAACACATTTACAGATGTACATTTTCTTGCAAATTGCAACCATTTTTCTATTGTATTTTTTCTTAACAATTAGTTTTTTCTTTCCGGTATTAAGTTTTTCATTATGCATGTCGGCCTGGTGGAATAATAATAAGAGCTGCATAATCACAAGCTGCCGCCTCCATCGCTGCGTTCACAGACACATGTACACACACATGCTTGCTCATACCCAACACACACAGACACACAAACACGTGCTGCTTTTCACTTTTATCCATTGTTTAACGGAGGGGAAAGTTGATGTGAGCTATTAGTGCTATTAGTATACACGTTCACCCAACCCTGCCATGCAGCTCTGCCCTGGCAACTCATCCTCCTTCACGTAACCAATCACTGTCCACACACACCAGCCCGGGCGCTACACAAAGAGGCAGCCGCTCTCAGACAGAAAGAAGGCGAGGAGCTGCATCAGAGTGAGCAGCACTGGCGACAAACGAACCTCCCTCAACTGAGAGGGTTCTTTTACTCCTGAAATCCAGTATAAAAAGAGACCGGATTGAAAAGATTTTTTTTTTTTTTGTGCCTAATTCCAGTAGCTGGAGATTGGTGTTACATCAACACAAATCTCAATGTGAAGCTTTTATATTAACTATCAAAGAGCTCTGTACTCTTTAGCCGTCATTTGAAACTAACTCCACTGCTATTGTCAGCCATGACGGGTCTCCAGTTTCTATGGTTTGTCCATTAGTTTGGTTCAGCTTTGGCCAACACAAAGACAAGAAGACAAAAAGTAGATGGTGAAAAACAGCAGAACAATGTCCCTATGTTATCTAATCCACATTGACACCATCTTTTAATGAGAATAATTTGAATTTTATGGAGCATTAACAGCAGATTTGGGCTCAAACCCCGGACCTTCTGCATGTAAAGCCACACACTAGAAGAGTGGTTAGTGCTCTCGCCTTACAGTGAAAAAGATCATCAGTTTGATCTTTTGTGGTGACTGATCTTTCTGTATAGAGTTAGCATATGTGCAAGGTTAAAAAAAAAAAACCATTCACTTGTGTGAATGTCAGATTGATTGTTTTTTTTTTCTTGTCCACAGACGTGGTCCTGTGATGGACTGGTGAACTGTCCAGGCTGTAACCCAGACCTGGACACACGACTGCAGGGATTGGCTACAACCAGTGCAACACTGAAAGGCTACAGCTGTGGGGAAAAAATCCCATCATGAATCTTTTCACACAATTTGGAATTGTGTTACACTGACCCAAATATAAATGAATAGAAGCATCCATATGGGGAAAACTGTTTCAGATGTTACAAATGGAGTTTGGAGCATCTGATTTTTTTTTTCCTATGACGT